ACCCCGACGTGTCCATGATCATTTATGTCGCCTTACTCGTGCTACGTGTAATACAGACCCAAGTACCCAAGTCGAGCTTTTCAGAACTCGAGATGCTCATGTCGACTCGGTGCTCTATTTCATCCCACTGATATACTCTGGGCATCAGTCATATAGTCTGTTGAACTAATTTGGGAAGATAGAGTGGAAGTCAAATCGATTTCATTGGCAGGCACCCCAACTTTGAATCCAATATATATAAATTCTGAGAAAATCATGACGAAAGAGGGAGGATAGACCGTATGTACCCATGAGGAAGGAGCTGCGTTGTCGTGCTGCATGACATCAGGAATAAGTGCACTGCCTCTCACACGGACTCCTCCCTCCTTTCCTCCTCTTCTTCATATGTTTCGATGAGCATTCCAAGACACAGCGTTTTTGCTTCTTCTTCTGCGGCGGGCGCTTCCTTTACCTCTATCTCATCGGCTTCCACAGCGCCCAGTGCGCTCTTTAGCAGGTCTCAGGTATGTTGATCACTGGTCCAGAATATAATGTGAATCTCAAGCATCTCACAGGCCAGAGATGTTTCGAACTCTGATGCAGGTTCCTCAACTAGTGTTCCCGTTTCCTCCAAGTCTGTGAAAGTGCTACCATTCCGTTGTCTTGCTCTGAAACTGGCTTCCTAGTCTCTCTGCTTCTGGATCACAGTCCGCTTCCATCTCCACCAGTGACTCTTCATCTTCTAGTCAACCTTCAAGTTCATCATCGTTCGGAAGTAGCAGCTCTCAAGTGCCTAGCGCCTCTTCATCTAGCGCGCAGCCCTCGTCGTCATCTGTCCCTCCGTCCTCGTCTCTTTCCTCCAGCTCTCTTCCCCCCTCAAGTTCCGTGCTACCCCAATCCTCTCGGCTCTTGCCCTCCTCTTCTCTAATCCCGACCACTTCGTCCCAAATCGCCACCACAACTCAAGTCTTGACCACGTCGGATCCCAACCCGAGTACGAGCTCCTCGGTGTCCCTCACCACCCTAGTGACATCGGTTGACGGGCAATTGACTACAGCACGTCCAGTTTCTTCAACTACTAGTCGACGCTGATTCGTATCTATCATGACAGCTCGTTTCGGCCGTCCCAACATCGCTATCTCCGTCTACAACTTCAAACAGCACTGCGCGACGGACAGTCGTCATTGCTGGAGCAACGGCCGCCGCTGTGGGTGTTCTTCTTGTCGTCCTCGGCACGATATTTGTATACAAGCGACGCAATGGCCGGCGTCTGGAGTTCACTGCTGCATTGGGGCGGGCGAGACGAGAGACGCAGGGCGCTGGAGCACTCGGGCTGCTGGACGACGAAGATTTCGACGACGACGACAGCGTCCCCATGCGCCGGTATCGAGATAACGACATCACACATGCCCGATCGAACCCAAGCGCCGTCAGTCTTGGGCCTCAACAGTCGCCAGCACCTTCTGTATTCCGATCACGCGCAGAAACTGGCTCGGTGTTTCGCGAAGAAGTCTTTCCTCCGCCCCAGGGTCCCATAGTGGACCCACTTGTTGGGCTTGGCGCAGGCGGCTTTGGACACATTGTAACGATGTGATGGGTCCCGACCGAAGCCCGCCCGCCCCTTCGAGTGATTCACAGCGTGAAGCGCCACGTGAAAATATCCCCTCGATGAATAGCACTTCCTCTTCCCTCTATGCAGACCCCTTCCGAGATCTTTCTCGGAATGATCTGCAATCCGATCCGTCCATTTACTATGATCGACGAGCTTCCCCATCTGCCTCGGAACACTCAGGTGCTGGTTCTCGGCCGGCGACACCACAATCGTCGTTGGGTCTTCCAGCCGGGGTAGCTGCAACACCTAAAAAGTCGAGCCCGTTGACACTTTCACCGGACTCGCCGACGCCATGGTTGAATCGGTCGCCTCGAAAGGGACCAAGCAGTACAGAAAGTTAGTTACGGACAGAATCTCTGCTAATTTACACGCATGGGACTTTGATATGCAATGGATGCTCTTATTATCACGCTGACAATCGAGTTGATAATTATAACACGGCCTTCCCAAGTCACGTTGCTGCGTATTGATCGTGTCGATCCTCATCAGATCCGCTTGCTCTTTTGAGGCGCGTTCGCGTGCACAATTCTTCAACGATTCGTCTGTCCACATGGACTCTCTTCTCTCTTACTTGTCGTTTCTCTGGCCGTTTCATAGATCAGGATTCGAACAGCTCTCTATTGACGGCACCTCACTCTCGGAAGAACGCGAGCTGACTATCGTCCAAGATGGAGTCAAGACTTCTCTTATGATCCTCGAAAACGGGGTTCGCGTCACCACGTGTACGTGTCATTTCTACCGCTCGAGCGCACATTCATCCTTCTGCAGCCCTCAAGCGTGGTTCGTGCCGGTCATGTCTCGTCCTCTGCCCATCCAACCTTTCCACAGGTGTCGAACTCGTTCCGTACTTGCACGTCCTCCAATCGACAATCACTGGGTCTCAGCTCAACTTTGCCTACCTGTCTTCCCGAACCCAGTCTCTGCAATTGCAAAAACTCTCTGGCGACGTGTCTAATATCGCGGCCAACTTGATTCGGGCATGGACGGCAGATATGCACAGCCGCGCTTATAGAGGTGCGCAGTCATGCCCTGGTCATGACTGAAACATCTACAACTCGGGTCTCTAGATGTTCTGCCTTGTCGCAGGTTTCTCGTCATGGTGAACCCCCACGGCGGTCAGGGCAAGGCCAAGAACATCTGGATGGACAAGGTGCAACCCATATTTGCTGCCGCGGGCTGTCACGTCGACCTTCGATGTGCGGTCCTATCTCCCCGTGTTTTTTTTTCATCAAGAACTAACCTCAACAAATCCGACCAGACACGGGCCCTGCCTCGTCACCTGATAACGCGACCCGTATCGCACACGATGTCGGACTGGACGCATACGATGCGCTGGTCCCCATTTCGGGCGACGGCATCGTGAACGAGATCATCAACGGACTGGCCAGCCGGCCGACGCACTTGCTGCCTTGCAGATCCCGATTGCAACCATTCCCGCGGGCAGCGGCAACGCTCTCTCGGTGAACATTCTGGGCCCGGAAAGGGTTTTAGACGTTTCTTATGCCGCCATGAACGCAATCAAAGGTGCTAATGCCGCTCTACGAATCATTCCGGGACCTAACTTCCTGGCGCAGGACTGCCGATACCTCTGGATATCTGTTCGGTCTCGCAAGGGGATACCCGGATCTTTAGCTTCCTCTCGCAGGCGTTTGGCCTCATGGCTGATCTCGACATGGGCACGGAATGGATACGGTCAGTTCTGTCCGTTCCTTGTTGGTTTGTCTTTTGATCAGCGCCAGATGGATCGGGGGAATCCGCTTCGTACTGGGATATCTCAACGGCGCTATCACTGGCAAGGTCTACAATGTTGAAATCACGCTCAAAATCGCGGAGAGCGACAAGCAGAAGATGGTCGACCAGTACAACCACCACCAGCAAACGATCTCGCCTGCTTTGGAAAGAACGGATCCAGGCCCGATGGTTCCGCTGTCCTTTGGGAGCACTGACTCCCCGCTTCCCCTCGGCACCGTCCACGACCGTCTCGAGCAAGCGTTGGAGCCCGGCTGGCACACTTTCCGTGTGCCGGTGCAGCTGATGTGTGCCGGCAAACTGCCCTGGCTTTCGCGCGACAGCATGATGCTCCCGTTGGCCATGAACGATGGCCTGATCGATCTGATTGTGGTCCCTGGCCGGTCAGCTTGGGCCAGCATCAAGGTAATGACCTCGGCTCCCCTCTTCGCTTGCAATCTACTCTGCTCATTTCGCGTTTCTAGAGCGTCGACGGGCAAGAGGAAGGCCGCTTTATGAGCGACCCTTTGTGTTACTATTTCAAAGTGGAGGCTTATCGCTGTACCCCACTCGAGAAGCGAGGTTATATCAGTATCGATGGTATGTCTCGCTTTTCAGCAGCTGCGAGTCAACGAATTGCTGAACAAATCTTCCGGTTCTAGGAGAGAGCATCCCTTATCGGATGTTCCAGGTCGAGAACCACGCCCGGTTGGCGCGTATAATGAGTGTAGAGAAGCGCTGGATGGCGCTGTCACATGCGAAATTGTGAGTAGTATAGAGCGGAAGGTACTAATTTTCTATGGTTTTACAAGGTACAACATAAACTTGGTTTCTGCCACTTCTTGTTCTTCTTCAACCAGTGCAACTGAACCAGGTTTGCGCTGGCTCGAATCAGCAGGTAGTCCGCCGATGGTCTTCCGGATGAGTTCGGAGTGCTGGTCAATGGCAGAGAGGAGGTCTGCCCCGGACCCGGACTCGAACTGATAGAACACCAGCACGTCGTCGGTGGCCTGGAGCCCCGCCTTTTTGCGCAGCTTTTGCACCCGATTCGTCAGTTCCCGGGCGAGCCATTCGCCCATCAACTCAGGATGGACCTGGATGTCCAAGCGAACCACCACATCGTTGTCCGTGTTGGTCGCAAACCGCTTTTCGGCCTCGACTGGAATGTCCAGGTAGCGCGAAACCGTGAGATCGCCAGCGACGAGCTCGATGCCGTCCACGCTGATCTTGCCGGTGTCGATGAAGGCCTTGACGGCGGAGCTCGTGACGTCCGGGAGAGCTTTCTTGACACGGTTGATGTCCTTGCGGAGCTTCCGGCCGAGGACAGTCCAGTCAGCTGCTGCCTTGTAGCGCACACCGGAAGCGACTTCGTCTGAGCTGAAAACGACGTCGCGGACGTTGAGCTCCGACTCGATGTACTTTTGCAGAGGTCGGACGTCTTCAATGTACTGCGGGTCAGCGTTGAATACGAGCAGCTCCTTAAGAGGTGTCTGAAAGCAGTGTCGGTCATCGGTGAGCGAGACGACGATGGCCCACGAACCTTGAGAGAGATATTGTTTGTTTCACGGATGTTTCTTGTCAGGTCAATGACAGCCTGCATCCGCTGGACTTGTCGCTCGATGTCAGAGTCAAAGTACTCCTGCTTCACCTCGGGGAAAAGCAAGAAGTGGATCGAGCGGACATCTCCAGCACTGGGATTCTCGGGGATGAACGTCTTTAGTGTTTGATAGAGGTTCTCGGTCATGAACGGTGTGTAAGAAGACTGGAAAATGTATCACGATGGGGAATTAACGAGGGCAAGCAAGAGAGGAACTGACCATCGTTCGACAGAGGGTGAACAGCGCCTCGAAAAGAGTGTTAAGGGCCGTGCGCGTGTCCTCTTTGCCATCTTCTCCTTTGAGACGTCTGCGGTTGAAGCGGATGTACCAGTTCGTCAGTTCGTCGACCAAGTCGAGCAGACGCGGCACAATCGTGTACAGCCGGTAGGCAGCCATTTCTTGTCGAACAAGCAGGATGAGCGACTGGCACCGCGCAAGGATCCACCGGTCCATGACGTTGTTCGGAACGGAGGCGTGCGCGTTGAACTGGAAGTTTTCGCCCGTGGTCTTCTTGAACAGCGCAGCTTGACCCAGGAAGAAGCGGAAGGAATTAAGCCACGGAAGTAGCACCCGCGAGATCACCTCTCGAACACCCTCCTCCCTGAAGCGGAGATTGTCGCCACGGACGATCGGCGAATTGACGAGGTACATCCGGGTCGCATCCGCACCGTACTTGTCAATGACAACCGTAGGATCGGGGTAGTTCTTCAGACTCTTGCTCATCTTCTTGCCATCCGCGGCCAACACCAGTCCCGTCACAATCAGATTCTGCCACGGGGCCTTGCCAAAAAGATGTGTCGAGAGCACAAGCAGAGTATAGAACCAGCCACGTGTCTGGTCTATGCCCTCACAAACAAAGTCGCCCGGGAAAGTCTTGTCGAACAACTCCTTGTTTTCAAAGGGATAGTGCATCTGCGCGTAAGGCATGCTGCCGGGGCCTCAGTGCTGGCGGAACGTAGAGCTTATCACGCGTACGCACCTTCCTGACTCGAACCAGCAGTCGAAGACTTCCTCCACGCGTTTGAGCACGCCGTTGCCAGAGGACGAGGGGATAGTCAGGTGATCGATGCTATCTCGGTGCAGGTCGGTGATGCCCTTGACGCCCGATAGTTCCTCAAGCTCCGCAACTGAGCCAATGCATACGATCTGAACGAGGCTGAGACACACGAGACAGCTACATGATGGGTGAACCCACCTCTGACAAATCCTCGTTACCCCACAGCGGCAAGGGCGTACCCCAGTATCGATTGCGGGAGATATTCCAATCACGAGCATTCGCTAGCCAGTTACCAAACCGATTGTCTCCGACGTGTTGAGGAACCCATCGTGTTTGCTTGTTGTTGGCAACCAGCTCCTCTGTGATCGGCGCAACTCGGACGAACCAGCCAGGAATGGCGCGGTAGATCAGCGGTGTCTTGGATCTGAGTATAGATTAGAAACAAGAGGCAAAGCTGGGATCACTTATTACCTCCAGCAGAAGGGATAAGAGTGCATGATGGTCGACTGAACAATCAGCCGGCCCTTGTTCTTCAGCACTTTCTGGATCGGACTATCAGCCGCTTTGACATTCAGGCCCTCGAAGTCGGGGATCTCGCTGGTGAACCGTCCCGCATCATCGATCGGGCAAGGCGGCATGTCATCTTCGCTGATGATTCCGTTCGCCAGTGCAATCCGGTAATCGTCTTCTCCGAATGCAGGAGCCTGGTGCACGATGCCGGTACCATCCGAATCTGTAACGTAGGTGTCGACAACAACCCGGAATGCTTTGTCCTCAAACTGTGGCATTTAGTAAGCTTCGCATCGAAATTCTCTTTCAGACGCACTCTTTCAGTGAAGTACTCGAACAACGGCACGTAACGCCAACCCTTCATATCAGAACCAAGGAATTGCCCCAATTTCTTGAACTTGGCTTTTTTCGGGTCTTTGTACAGCGTCTTGAGAAGATTCTCGTGCAGAATGAAGTTTTGATCCTTCTCCTGGTCATGGATCTTGATATATGTGAATTCAGGATGAACACATAATGCGAGATTTGATGGCAACGTCCATGGCGTGGTGGTCCAAGCCAAAAGAGAGGTGTGAGGATCGTCGACGAGGGGGAAAGCGACAGTGACTAGGTTATCATTGTCAAGCCGACTTCTTGGTCACATGCATCAGGCTCACCTGCCGGGTCGCTCACATCCCGGAAGTCCAGGTTGGCTTCAAAGTTGGAAACTGGCGTTGTCAAACCCGTCGAGTATGGCAAGACCCGCAGACCGCGGTAGACCAGCCCCTTCTTGAACAGCTCACTGAAAGCCCACCAGACCGATTCCATGAACGAAGTATTTAGCGTTTTGTAGTCGTTGTCGAAATCAATCCATCGGCCCATGCGCACGACCGTTTTACGCCACTCCGAAGAGTACCTCATGACAATGCTCCGGCATTCCGCGTTATACCGATCGATTCCCATCTTCATAACATCCGCTTTGCCCGTGATGTTGAATTTTTTGTCGATCTCGTGCTCGACAGGAAGGCCGTGTGTGTCCCATCCAAAGCGCCGAGTAACATGGTGGCCGCTCACATGCGCATGCCGGGTGACGATGTCCTAAGAAAATGCCCGATCATCGATATCGGCCGTGGATGATGTGCTGGAGGACGCACCTTGATAGTGCCCGCTAGCAGATGTCCGTAATGAGGCAATCCAGTCGCGAATGGAGGTCCGTCGTAGAAAGAGTACTCGGGGCGTCCCTCGGATAATTTGAGACTGGTTTGAAACGCGTCGATTTCCTCCCAGAATGCGATCACTTTTTCCTCCTCCTTCGGGAAGTCGAAAGGAGCGGAGACTTGGGACGATAAGCGACCTGGGAGAGGGCATCGTGACTGGCCCACTCACTGTCGTGCGGAGCGAAAGACATCGTGCGCGAGGGCCCCTAAGTGAACCAATGTCTAGAGATGGGGACGAAAGCGAAGGGTTAACACTCGGGTTAAGAGGTAGACGTGAACTTGACAAATGAGTCACGAGTAAGCAGCCGAGTCAGCCTGCCCTGACTCTTGACCTGCACTCGACTTGACTAGGCTGCTCGCCTGCATCGCATTTGTACACCACTGCTAGGCGATCGCTGCCTCGATGGTGAAGACGGCATCTACAATACGGCCCGAACTTTGACGTGAACGCTTATTTCGCTTACTGCCGTGGCTCGTTGTCTCCTGCTTTCTCGATGGCTCCAATGTCACCTACTTCTCCTTCAATGGGTTGCATACCAACTGACGCGCATCGGATCCGTATTGTAGACGCGACAAATTCACCATTCACTCGAAGGCTGTCGTGTGCCAGGATGTGGAACTGAAAGGCGATATCACCATCGGCTCAGGTCAGTCATGCGTCGCGCATCGCGTTTCTCGACTCGACAGGCTGCAGGGACCATAGTGCATCCCAAAGCCACCATATTCGCCATTGCCGCGCCCATCATCATTGGCTCGAATTGTATAATCGAAGAAGGAGCCATCATCGTGAACAGGTATGTTGGGAATCAGTTATGAGTGCAACCTCGTCTGACGAGTCCCCAGACGGAAAGACGTTATGCGCATCGGCGACGACAACTTGTTTGAGATATCTTGTCGTACGTTGCAAAGGCGTCGCGTCTTCGCGCCTCTCACCTTATTGTAGGCGTGGAATCGCCCACCATTGGTAATTTCAACACATTCTCGACGCGAGCTCGTGTACACCACACTGTCCGAGTCGCCTCTTACTGCGTCATCGGCGCGGCATGTTTGGTTGTTCCATCGGAAGACCAAGTTCTGGAGGATTACACGGTGATCTATGGCCCAGCTGCGGAACGCCGGATATGGAGTGGCAGGGGTAAAGTTCAAGAGGCCGATCTACGCAGGAAGCATGCCGAGTACCTGCGTGAGATGCTGCCGAAATTCAACCGTCTTAGGCGAGGCGAGGGTGCTTGACCATCTGAGATAGTGATCATTAATTCTTGCCTGGTATGCTGTGGTAGATGGGGCCGATAACAAGAGGATTGTAATAAGTATGTCCGATGTCCGTGTGTACAACGCTCGTAAACGCCCGTGTCGTCTAAATCATGAAAGAAGGAAACATGCAGCGAGAGCCGCGAGGGAAACGACTGCAAAAGACGCGACGGGACGGGAACCCTCGTTTCCAACAACAGAGGGGGCTGTACTGGTGGCATAATTGGCCGTATAGAAAGAGTAGTCCATCTGTGTTGCCTGGAACGTCGCAGACACAGGGACCGCCGTGGCGACGGAGGGCGTGAACGTCCCAACGGTATGGTAGGTCACACCGTTAGCATTCGTCGTGGTATAGGTGTACGGAGTAGGTCGACCTTCCTGCGCAACATCAGTCGTCCCTGGTTGTTGTACCGGACCGGGGCCAGCTGCAGCTATTGTCTGACTAAAAAAAGAGAATCAGCACAGGAGATCCGCGTGCCGGGCGTACTCGATACGTACATCGTTTGAGTCGCGGTGTTCCCCGATCCGTCAGCGACAACTACTTCAACAAGCGTCTCTCCAGCTCTGACAAGACGTCGACAAGTGCCACCAAGAAAATGAAGACACACTTACGGATCAGTCGTCGTCACAGTCGATGTGAATGCACCACCGGCCGCAGCGAGGATGGTTTGGCTAGACAGGTAGTGAGCCTGTGAACTCTGCCCAGTTCAAAAAACTTGCATCGTTTGGGTCGCCAAGAGCCCTTGTCCATCCCCGGAGATGACTTCGACAAGAGTGTTTCCCGCACTGATAAACTGAGCACGCTGAAAGCGATACACAGAAATCGACTAACCGATTTGTGGTCGTGATGGTGGATGTGAATGGCGTTGGTGTAATTGTCGAGCTTCATTCATCTCAATAGCTGTTTCAGCTTCCCAGATGATCCACACGCACAGAATCGTTGTTGTGGGAGCCCCGAGCGGATCCAGCGTAACAACCTCGACAATGGTATTGCCCAAACTGAAGCGCCGCCGACATCAGCCACAACTGTGCATTTGAACAAGGCGGTAAAACATACAGGTCAGTCGTAGTTAATGTCTGGGCGGCCGCCCATGGCAGTAACACGGCGAGAAAAAGGCGCGAGACTCGGTGCATGATAGGTCCAGTGGAGAAGGCTGAGCGCATATATTTGCACTGCTTTGGCTGGAACATCTCTGCCGCAGTTTGCCGACAGCAAGATTGTGAAAACAGACATTGCATTACAGGATTGTGGGATATTGCGTGTAATACATACAAATGAATGGATACATGAAGAGAAGCGAGTTTGGATGCGATCAGACCAGGGTCCCGCCCTGGACGTGCTCATCACAAGAATCCCCTCTCCTGTCGCCGTCAACGCTGGCCGCGAGTAAACTACAGAGAACTGGATATGGGATCAGCACACGCCGTGTTGCCGGGAGAGCCGATGGGGCATGCGATCCAAGTCGCGGGCTGCTGGGCTGTTTATATGGCCGCAGAAATTACACAGAAACTGGCTGGTTCAATTCGTTGAGGGCTTGTTCCCTCAGCTGCGCGGCAATTTGGCGCCGACCCAGAGCACCAGCAACCCAAGCAGCCATGTTGACCTCACGTTCGGCATCTGCCACAAGGAAGGGATGTTCCTAAAGACCATGAGTTCATCGAGCAGATGTTCGCAAGGGATAAGACCAACCAGTAGCTCAGCATAGGTGGCTCGATGAGCTGGATTCTTGATGAGACACACCCTGACCCAATCGCGTGCTTGCTCGCTGAACTGGACCTCAAGGGGGTCAGTCGCCGAACTCGGTTTGCACTCCGGTAACACTGGGGGTTCGCCGTGCACAATGGCCTGCAGTTGTGCGAAGACGTTGTTGTATGTTTCCGGCGGATATGGGTATTTTCCCAGAGCAATCTCTATCATCGATAGTCCAAGCGACCAAACGTCCGAAGAGACCGTGTAAGTGTTGAATGCTTCTTGCGCATCTGCTGTGGATGTCGTGCCTTGGATTCTTTCCGGCTGGCAGGCTTTCAGTATTGAGCGAACTCGCGCAAGTAAAAGGCTTACTGCAAAGTAGGTCTGGCAACCAATGTTTGTCTTGGCGATCGAGTTATCTAGTTGCCCCGAGACACCGAAATCGCATAGCTTGACTTTGCCCTTTCTGTTCACGAGCACATTCGTAGGCTTGACATCTATACAAAAATCAGATGCGCTCTGAGACTGGTGGGAATGCTGACCTCGATGCATGATTTGCAGATTGTCCTTCAGGAACTTGAGGCCGCGAACCATGCTAGATGCAATCCGCCCAAGTACGTCTTCGGGTGCACCTTCACCTGTTTCGCCAGTCCACCCTCCGCCCTGGGCAGTGGTTCTGATGCCGAGGACTTTGTCCAAGCTGCCGGCATCCATATACTCCATGCAGTAGTATACGCACGATTCGATCGTGAATGCGCCGTAGAACTCGACAATTTCTGGCGCAACAGCACGATGGAGGATATCCAGTTCCATGATGATGCCATCCAATTTAGAGGGCGAAAGTTCCAATTGAATTTCCTATCGGGAATGAGAAAAGGAACATGTGAAGTACAGAGTGAAACAGACCTTCATTGCCATGAAAACGTTTGTTGGCCGATGATGAACTCTTTTAACGGTTCCATAGTTCCCTCTCCCCAATTCCTCGTTCAGTTCGAATTGCGACATGTTTATCTGATACGATGAGCCGTTCGAGAAGTTGACGCCATCTTCGTGAAGAACTGCTTTCCCACTGAAATTAAGAGCACCAGAAAGATCGCTGTAGGATGTTCAGATGAATTAAGCAGATCCGATAGACACTCACACAATCTTTGAAAAATTGGAGAATGCAGGGGCTGCGTCGTTGCGCAAAGGCGGACGGCCGGCGCCCAAACCTGCACCAGATGCACCATCCGCTCCTTCGATGTCTTTGAGTGTGAAATTGGGCTTCCGTCTATTCATCAAGCCTGGTGCTTTGGGTCGAGGTGCCGGATAAGAGTTGGCTGGCCTTAGACTGGGAGCATCGGGAGTCCCTATACGAGCACGCTGCAAAGCGGCTGCCGTGGCGTCAACAGGACTCATGGGACCCCGCTTATTCGCGAACTAGATAGTCAAAAATGAAGCGTCAGTGACATGCAGTACGGGATGAAGCGGTCAACCCACAGCCGCAAGTTTCTCCTGCATACCAGGAGGTATGGGCGTCGCACCCTGGCGGGCTTGAAGCAAGCTCGTCAATGGATTGGGCTTCGCGTTGGGCTTGTGGGTCGACATCGAGGAGGATGGTATATGTAGGTGGAGTCAAACGCAAAGCAATATTAACGGCGTGACGTATGTGGTTACTTGGTGGCGTTGAGGTTAGGGTTGCGAGCAACTTCGGGAAGATCAGACTCATGTGTACTATATACTTATAAGCGATCATCTGGATTGAGACTCTTTCTTGTTCTGCCATTATGGTCAACGTTAAATGGAATTCCGAACGCATTACATTCGAACTTCCTCCTCCTAATACACCTCTCGGTGTTGTCAGAGACGCCATCGCAGAATATACTCACTTGCCTCGCAATGGCTTCAAGCTCATTCACAAGGGTGCAATACTACGAGACGACAATGCATCCAGTCGGTTGACGTCTACGTACAAACGTATTGGTAGCTCATCCTGTATAGTATCTGCCTTTCACCTGAAGGACACCTCGACGATCGCCGTCGTGGAAATCGGATCTGCGCCCGCGAACGCAGCCCATCCAACGACGTCGAATGTCCGCACAGAACAGGCCACGATCTCCGCTATCCACTCTCAAATGGAAAATGTGCGCTCGGAACTGTCTCCCGCCGTCGAAGTCTTGCTTGCATCACCGGAAGCACACCGACTGCCCCGTTCCAAGGAGCATTTACGTCTCTCCGAGCTCCTGCTTCAGGCTCTACTGCGATTAGATGGTATCACAACCGAGGGTGATTGGGAGCTTGCTCGTCAAGAGCGCAAGTCTGCGGTGAAGGAGGTGCAAAATCTACTAGACCGATGTCCGTTCCTTCTTGAACTCGATCGACACCTTCGCTTACAATGACTTTCAGTGGACAGTGCCGGCAGCTGATTTCCACTGCAAAGCAGCGACGGTAGACATATGGACTGTATATTAGAGATTGCTTGCAAATGGAAGTCGATTTAGGGCACATGGACTGGGTTCCAGCTGATGGCACCGTCCTTGCCCTGATCCATGGCATCAAGGGCCGACATGTCCTCCTCATCCAACTCGAAATCGTACAATTTAGCATTGGAGTGAATGCGGGACGGTGTTTCGCTCTTAGGCAAAGGAACGAAACTAACATGATGTTAGGCAAGTGGGGCGAAGAACTGTGAAGCTCTCACCCTTTCTGCAATGACCACCGAAGTAGCACTTGAGCGGGCTCGCGTTTGTGCTGTGAGAGTTATATCAGTCTCAGTGGATAGCGGGAAGTTACGTCTGTTACTTTCTCAGCAATGCTAGTAATTGATGGGTGATCCATCTTGCCGCGAATGATGGGACAATACGCTTGGACCACGATCGAGTTGGCCTTGCAATAGTCGACAATCGGCTTTTGTTGACAGAGCGGATGCAACTAAGGGAACATTCAACAACTAGCTGATCCACAGAAGACCGCCACCGACCTCGATTTGGTTCACGGCCGGCATCTCCATTCCCGCCTTTTTGATCTCTTCGAGATGGTGAACGCCACTATCCAACGTGACATCATAGGAATCTGCACAAGGCCATGACGCACTAGTTGGAAACCCCCACAGTGCGGATCTTTCCGGCAGTCTTAGATTCGAGGAGTGCTTTGTAAGTGGCCAAGCGGCGCTCAGACCCAGACATAGGATCGTGAATGAGCTGCAAAGAAAAATCAATGATCTCCAAAAGACTGAGAAGTGTAATAACAGACAAAGAGGTCGATATATTCTGAGGCATTCGATCAGTGGGGTAAACGACTGGGATGTCCATCCACTCACCGAATCCAAATTGGCCTAAAGATGTGTTCACTCCGGCAAGCGTGCTCTCGTAGCCGTGATTCTTGGAATAACATTTGGTGGCTGTCGGGTTCAGACAATGCAATCCTCAAGGGAACACGACACACTTATGAATAGCTCCTCTCGAGGGATCGAGCACTCTTTGACTGCCTCCCCCACAGCTCCTTCGTTCTGATATACCTGTGCCGAGTCGACATGTCTATCACAGTCTCAGATTTACGCAAGAGTGCGAGGGATGATTATGTGACCTGTATCCGGCTTTGAACGCTTCCAGCACACTAGGTCGCGCATTTCGGTTCTGATAGACGCCAAAACCCAACAAGGGCATAGAGTAGCCCGAGTTGAGTCGAACGGTCGACGAAAGAGTGAGACTGGCCATCGGTCGCAGGATGTAGAGAAGAAAGACTTGATCAGGTCGCTGACTGTACCAGATAGATAGCCGTGCTAATTACTACTAGATGGATCTCACGCCGATCTAACCCGCTCACGTGGGTGTACGTATATCTGTTGAGCTTGCTTGCATTACTGGAAGCACACCGACTGCCCCGCTCCAAGGAGCATCTGCGTCTATCCGAGCTCCTGTTTCAGGCACTGCTGATATCAAAACCGAGGGCGATTGCAGCTTACTTTTTATCTGAGAGCACATGTCTGCAGTGAAGGAGGTGCAAAATCTACTAGACCGATGTCTGTTCCTGCTTACACTCGATCGACACCTCTGCTCACAATGACTTTCAGAGGATAGTGCCGGCAGCTGACTTCTGCTGCCAAGCAGCGACAGGGGGCATATGGATTATATATTAGAGATTGCGTATTTAGGGCGCATTGACAGGGTTCCAGCTGATAGCGCCGTCCTTGCCCTGATCCATGGCATCAAGGGCCGACATGTCCTCCTCATCCAGCTGGAAATCGTACAATTTAGTATTGGCGTGAATTCGAGAAGGGGTTTCGCTCTTGGGCAACGGAACGAAGCTGCACGATGTTAGGCGAGTAAGGCTGGTGATTGTGAAGCGCTCACCCTTTCTGCAATGACCACCGAAGCAACACTTGAGCGGGCTCGCGTTTGTGCTGCGAGAATATATTGGTCTCAGTGGACAGAGAGTACAGTTCTGTATCTTACCTTCTCAGCGATGCTGGTGATTGATGGATGATCCATCTTCCCCCGAATGATGGGACAATACGCTTGGACCACGATCGAGTTAGCCTTGCAATAGTCGACGATCGCCTTTTGTTGGCAGAGGGGATGCAACTGAGAAAATATTCAGCGACGAGCTGATCCAGAGACGAGCGCGACTGACCTCGATTTGGTTCACGGCAGGCATCTCCATTCCTGCCTTTTTGATCTCTTCGAGATGGTGAACGCCACTAGCCAATACGTCGTCAGAAGAAGCTGGAAAGCGCTATGACGCACTAGTTGGACACCCCCACAGTGCGGATCTTCCCGGCAGCCTTGGATTCGAGTAGGGCTTTGTAAGTGGCTAAGCGGCGCTCAGACCCAGACATAGGATCGTGAATGAGCTGGAAGGAAAAAATCAGCGATCTTCAACAACACACTGAGAGGTGGATCAACAGACAAAGAGGTCGATATAATCTGAGGCATTCGATCAGTGAATTTAAACGAGTCGGATGTTCGTCCACTCACCAAATCCGAACTGGACCAACGATGCGTTCACTCCAGCAAGAGTGCTCTCGTAACCATGCTTCTCGGAATGACATTTGGTGGCTGTTGAGTTCAGGAGATGCCGTGCTCAAATAGACCGCGACCCACTTATGAATAGATCATCTCGAGGAATCGAGCTCTCCTTGACTGCCTCCCCCACAGCTCCTTCGTTCTCGTATACCTGCGCTGAGTCGATGTGCCTATCTCAGTCTTAGATTTGCAAAGAGTCTGAGGGGTCAAGAATGCGACCTATATCCTGCTTTGAATGCTTCCAGGACGCTCGGTCGCGCATTTTGGTTCTGATAGACGCCAAAGCCCAACAAGGGCATAGAGTAGCCCGAGTTGAGTCGAACGGTCGACGAGAGAGTAAGGCTGGCCATCGGTGAGAAGGTGAAAGGAGAAAGTAAGACTCGATTAAGTCGCTGAGGTACCATTACTTGCAGCGGTGCTAATAAATAGCTGAACCGCATGCCGATCTCACCCGCATTAGTGGACGACTGACCAATCTCTTGACTAAGCTCTGGTCGAAGCCACGCAGGTGGGCAGATAGATTACCGGTGCGGTCCTCACGAGGAACAGTCACGACCCGTGCCACGTATACGCGTCAGCATACCGTGACGGGTATCTGGCGACCTCCGTTGTTTGCACACCCAAAGTGACAAACTCGAGGCGAAGGGTCCTCATTCACGTAATGTCGAGTTGTAGCTGCGTGCTTGATTCAGATTTGATCTTCCGAGAAGAAAGGAATTGATTCATGGGCGGTAGTAGAACAGAGAATTCATAGCGTTGTTCGCCTGAACAGCCAATGCAAAGTTTCCAACCGCACCGATCATGTTGTCCGGTTGGGCGCCCGGCGGTCGCGCTGCTGATGCCAACGGGCGGATAGACGTGCAGATCTGTCGGACCGTTGCATGCATCTCGTTCGGAAGATCGAAGATGGTGGAACTGTCCCCAAAGGCGAGAAAGAAGTTGGTGGCATTGTACGGGCTCAGTGCCACGAACACAATCGAATTCCGTCGTTTTCGATCCTCTCCGTCGTCCAGGATCTTTTTCAGCTCCGGGTACAATCCGGAGAGATTGTACGATATCACACCATCATCGTAGAGAACGACCCAGCTGCCGTTCATTCCCAGTGCGACGTTCTGCGGACGGCCTGCTTTGATGCGATTCATGATGTCTTTTTCGAGCCCAAGCGGGAGATTCTGCCAGCTCAGACCGAGTTGATTCGTCGAGAAATAGCTTCGGTTCGGTCCAAACGTGGTCCGACTCGTCCGATTTGCGAGGAACTCGGCCAATTTTGCATACGCGGGTCCAAGGTAGTCGGCTACGAGCGATGAAGAGGCACTGAGATCAAGGGAAGAGACAGACGATCTTACGTTCGAAATAATCTTGACCCGTTTTTGTCCTCCAACACATCGCATAGACGCCAGGCTCCATGGCTAGTGCAACATCATACGGAAACTGATTGTATTCTGGATGATTTGGATCTTCAAGGACGCGACGGAGAGGTTCAGGAAGCTTGTAGCCGGCGCTCCTACCAAAAATTGCAGCCCCTCAAGCCGATGACAAACTAGCACACGAACCATCCCCACTTGGTATCGGTCTTAATGAAGTACGCGTTGTTGGGACCGAATGTAAATTGGAAATCCATGTCTTGAGGTTGCTAGGGCTGGAATAGTGCAGATTCAGTGGGTAAAGCACGAGGTTCGGGGCTCGCGCGCACAAGCAGCGCTTTATAGATCATGGCTCAGGACTTGAGACAAGATTCATTACAGCACGTCAGTACTGCCTTGCTGATTGACACATGCCAATGTCGTGTCTATCTGGATCATGAAGGGCGGGCTTTCTGCCGGCTCCGTGAGTGAGTAACTGTGAGTAATCATTTCTTTCTGGATGAACACGGATATTTCCCAGGTTTTAGCTAACAATCACCTTGGTGAGATGCCCCAGGTTGAATCTACGTGAATGCTGAATAGATCTTGTCAAGTACTTATCCATGATGGAATCTTACCGTAATTCTCGTCTGAGACCAATGGGATTGTTTCCGAGACCTGCAGTTACTGGCTGAGCATCTGAGAGGAATGTGCTTGATGTCTTTACGTCTTTCAACGAGGTTTACACAAACTATGCTTATTGCACAAAACCTGGTGACCCTTTGCATAGGGTCCGCATCCGGGCCGGGTGCCGCTTCCTTGCCGACGACCATGATCTACAATTACACCGAGGAGGCGAACGCGAACTTGGTATGTTTAAGCGTACGTATCTCGGGCCCAATTTCTCATGAGCCGTAACTAAAGCTATGCTGCATCTGCCGGTAAGCTTTCCTTGGCCTCGCAGTCGCGGGTCTGATAGGCAACTCAGGATGCCTTTCATCGAGCCAACGACCGCTCGAAGCTGTGCGCATACATTCTGCCGAGACTGTATCGTGGAAGCTATGGCACATGCACAGCAGTGTCCAGTCGATCGGTCGCCGCTTTCCGAAGAGCAGCTGGAGCCCGCAAATGGGATCATTCGCTCGGTGAGGCAAGTGGTAATCTATCTCCGTCACGACTGAAGATCTTTTGCATATGCAGCTGGTAGACGAACTGATTGTGGAATGCGTCCACAGCTCATCCGGGTGCAGATACACCTGTCAGCGTCACCTGCTCACTGCGCACATCCTTGATGCTTGTCCGTTCAGCACTGTGTCGTGTCCGCTCGGAGAATGCGATCAGAACATGCTAAGAAAGGACACGGGAGCCCATCAATGCCACACTGGACTCGATCCATCGGCAAGCGATGCTGTGCAGACGGAAGATGGCAGCCTAAAGGCAAGACCTCCGATCCCATGGAAATCGCGGGAGTGATGACTGGTCTGTTTAGGAGGATCGCACAGAAGTAGAAGGCACCCCAGCTCTCTGCGACTTCTGCGAGATGACGGTTGCCCCGTCGGGACTAGTTGCACACCAATCCGCCTGTTCCGCGGCGCCAGTCCAGTGTATTCACGCAGTGCACGGCTGCGGTTGGACTGGACCGCGCGCCGATCTGGATCCCGAACACCTCCCCTGTTGTCCATATCACGCGCTTCGCTCCTTCTTCGCATTGAACAACACTCGATTCGATCGCATAGCCGAAGAGAATCTCATCCTGCGTCACAAGGTGGAAAGCTTGGAGAGGTTCGCTCAGACGATGAACCGGGAGCTTTTGGCTGTCAAGTCCGCGCTAGGTCCCTGGTTTAGGCCCGAGGGTGTCCGAGTCTATCCCACATCTGACTCGCTCGCGACCCCCGTATCGCCTACCCAGCCACCTCCTAATGCGCAAGATCTGTTCGCCGCGTATTTTCCCGCTGAAGAGTCTGACCAACCGCCATCACCCACGAGTGCCGGTGCGATATTCGATATGGGGATGCAGCCGCGTCAGAGTTCAGCCGGGCCATTCAATGCTCGACACGCAGCTGCCATCGCTCCATTGAATCTGTCGAGCACGCTAGAAGGCACGTTCACCAGCCTGCGAGAGTCGGTGATTGGGCTCGCGAGTGCCGTCGACTCTCTTGGTCGGAGGAACGACATTGCTCTTGGGAACGAGACACTGCGGCTCAACGAGGAGGTGATGTCGCTGCGAGCGACGATGCACGGCCTCAGAATGCAGGTTAGTCTGCCCACGCGGAGCCTCGAGCTGATGCTGATACCGATCCTGCAGGTCCATAACATAATGATGGACAGGAACGCTCAAGTTACAGGACGAAGCGCGGACAGCGTTGCGCTTGCAGATGGTGCCTGGCCAGGACGGTTTCTGCATGGGCAGTCGATAACCAAGCTGTGACAGGTGTTTATTTGCAACAAAATATTACATTGCACTGGTATTGTAAAAGAGGATATTGTACTTGTAGGATGGCTATGGTAGTCAGCGGCCCCGGCGTGAAGAATAACAACAACAAATATTACAAGGAGCGAACTGTGGTTTAGCATAACATTTGCGAAACGATGCGGGTGGTGAACAGTCGCCAGCTGGAAGCGATTAAATGTGCAAGGAGATCCAATGATGTCCATGAATAAGAGAGCTATAAGATAGAGTTGGGACTCGTGTGTTGTGGTGGTGGTGGTGGTGGTGGTGGTGGTGATGGTCGTTTCAAGAGAAAATTCAATCCCCGCTCATGAATACACAAAGGAGCCGCCGTCCCCTCCATGCGACTGGTAAAACGACTCCTGCTGTCCAAAACCGGCGCTTTGGAACGGCCCAGCGCTTTGAGGCTGAGCAGCCGACGAGTAGGCGAACGAGTCGTAGTTGAATTGCAGTTCAGACGTTGGTGGCGCGGACTGAGGATAAGTCTGGTCGAAAAAGAACGTCGAGTTGTGGCCTGCATCATTCGTGTTCATCTCCGCTTCTTGCTTAGAGTGCAGTGCGAAGCTCAATTCGCTCCCCGAAGCAGTCCCGTTGCCTGCTAGGTGCGGGCTCGACCCTGCAGACACCGTTGAGGACGGCGATGGGTAGCCCAAAGTAGCTTGTCCATCTTGCTCAAAGCCATCGGATGGCGCATAGTGACCCAAAAGACCCTCGGCAACACTGGCGCGCCGAGGACCCATATCCAGATGCGACATGCCGAGATCGAGGTAGCCAGGCGCAGGGCAAGACTCCCGCCGCATGCTGCGGTAGTCGGGTGCTTCTCCCGCGCTACCAACGTCAGAGAAGTAGGCGCTAGTTGCGCTCGATTCGCTAGCGATCGAGCTGAAACGCGACATCGGGTAAGAAGCGGAGCTATCGTCCTCAGAAGTGGCATCGTCACGAGGGAAAGAAAATCCGCTAAAGTCCACTGGGGAGCTGCGCTCGCTGTCGGAGGTCGACGCAACACCAAACGAGTAGCCTGGATTGGGCAACGGCCCAGGAATCGGGGCCGCAACGGTTCGCGAAGAGACAGGATACAATTGTCCGTCGGGAAGAGAAGCACGGATGGAATGGAACGGCGACAGTGGTGACGGAGACGGCGAGGTCGACATGTGGTTATAACCGCGGCTTTCCATAGAGGCGTGTCTGGTGTGAGGCTGGATAGGCATTGTCGAACGATGGGCGAGGCCCGGCCGATTTATATACCCCCGGCTCATCTGACGCCCTTGCGACAATCGCTGAGTAGCCAGCACGTTGTTCTTGGCTCGAACAATGTGGGCGTAAGGGTTCGAAGCCAAGCGGACCAAGCTGGCGTCGACTGACCGACGGCGAGCGAGCGGATCGAGAGGGTCCACGAGTGGGGGACCGTAGTTTAGAGAATTCACGGGCAAGGAACCGCGGCGGCTCATGTGTGAGGGCAGATCGAACGAGGCATCCTCTGGTGTGTCGGTGACTGGCGAGCCCTGCCAAGAGGAGTCACTCGAATCTGTCAATACATGGAGCTGGGGAGGAGAGGTGATAGTAGGACTCGGGGATGAGCTCGTCGAAGGGTCGACGGCGACCTCGCTTGGCGACGACTCCGATCCATCCAGGTCCTCGGAAGATCGTGGTGATGGCGATTCTCCTTCCTTCCTTGGCAGCGCACCAGAGGTCTTGTTGAGACTTTTCACCGCTTTGGACTTCTCCTTCGCGCGGCGGTTCTGAAACCAGACCTGGGGAAGATTCGCGTCTGGAGGTATCCACAAGCGGAAAAAAGGTACACACCTGAACACCTCTCGGTGTCATGTTCAGCTGGACCGCAAGGTCAGTGCGAAGAGCGGCATTGGGCTTCGTATCGCGCTTGAAGATCTCCTCGAGCACCTTGAGCTGAGCGCTCGTGGTGCGCTTACGATGTTTGACTTCGTTGGGTGTGTAGGGATAAAAGGCCCGATAGTCGCAGGGATCCATTCCTGAAGGCATGGGGGACCAGGGAGGATAGGAATTCGAAAGAAGGTGGGGGAGGGCCGGGAGGGCTGGTGGGAGACGAGGAAGCATCCGGTGAGATAGTATTTATTCAAGGAAGGACAGTCACGACCAGAACATTAAGAGAGAGAAAGAGCGTTTGTTGAGCGTGTCACGCGTGATAGTGACATGCGATAGCGTTCTCACAAGCAACTACAACGTGAAACTCTGATAGATTGGTTGGTCGTCAAGAACATGCATCCGCAAATCGCTGGCGGTCAGCTCTAACTACATCCGCTCCTCCTCCATTCTTCCAAGAATATCCAAAACGAACTCTCGCCCACAGCTGGCGAGCGGACTCTCCCCTGAAGAGGCCATCCGTGCCGAAGCTCGCTGAACGATAGGGTCTCGGCAGATATTGCCTACATCAATCCTTAGCGCCGGATCAGTCAGCATCATTTCCCGGATCAGGGTGAATAGTTCCGGCATGTCATCCATATCGATTTGCGAGAAATCCTCTCGGCGGAGCCTCAGCCAAGAGTCGCCCCTGTCCGAATTGTCAGCCCCGATTTGCACGAAGAAAGGAAGAAACGGATCACTGACTGGTCTGGCACCACGATGTTTGATGCTGTCTCGAGCATTGTCATGCCAAAACTGAGAACGTGACGTGAGAATCTCCGTGTGGAAAAGACCGGTTTGACCGCACCTGAAGACATCAGCGGCCTTGCCATATCTGCCCTGCAAGACTTCCGGCGCCAGATACATCTTATCGCCCTCGCGCTCCAGGCCCACTGATTCCGAATCGGCCGCTGGCAGCATTCGCGGCCACACTGAAGCCATCCCAAAGTCTCCGATCTTGAAATGGCCATTGCCCGTCACCAGTATATTTGACGGCTTCAGGTCCAGATGTATGACGTTACGGTTGTGGATGAACTCCAGGCCCTGTGTCCATTTTTAGCCAAATGCAAAGCAGAAAAACATATCGAGCTGACATTGCCCAGTTCGACGAGAATCTTCCAGATGCGACCTTCGTCGAGTCGGGGATAGAGCCGTCCAAACTCCCACAGAAAGTGTGCAAAGTTGCCCAGCTCGCAAAGATCCGTTTGAATGTATAACATGTCGTCTTCTTCCCAACTGTCGACAAGTGTCAACACATTGGGTTGTACGCCACTGCATGTGAGGTGTTGGAGAATCTCTACTTCTTCTCGTAAGCGCAACCTATGCAGTCACCATCAGCGTCTCGGGGCGAAAAGATCGCTCGAAATCAACCCACCGATGTCTCACGCCTTCAAACCGCTTCGACTTCTTTACCGCATATTCCGCACATCTGGTCCTCGATCGAACTTTGATGACCTTGCCAAACTCTCCGCTCCCGAGCTCGTCCAGCTCCTCGAACTCCCGTTCAAAGTACCCTACTCTTTCAAACGATTGATCCGAAAGCCGTCGCCCGGGGAGGGGTGTCAGCGTAGTACGCTTCTTCCGTGACTGTTGTCGTGCTCCGGTCGGTGAGCCCAGCGTCGAGGACGATGAGCTTGACACGGAACGGCCCGGCGACAAGCTCAATGCATTAGTCGAAGGTGAAAATAGGTGCGGTTTGGGCAGGTGCCAATCTATAGTAGTTAGCGAGGCTAATAAACGACAAAAATGATTCAAGATCACATACCACGTCCTTTGGCACGTGTGGGTGTTCCTGCAATGGACGCCGAGTCGCTGCCACTTGAGAAAGCGCCACTGCTGCTTCGACGTGTCAACCATCGCGTCCGGGCCAGTGGTCTGCCCAGTCCAACTCCGACGTATTTGTCACGCCTGCTGCTTGGACTTTCCTCTTCACCATCCGAGTCGCTGTTGAGATCGACAGCCGCCTTGCCTTGTTTGCGTCCGAGAGCAGGGAAAACTGCAGGTAAGCTCTTGCGAGGTGCCTTGCCTGGCTTCGGCTCCAGACTGAACCCAGGCAACCCCACTTTGTGAGCAACTGCACTCTGCCACGGCCGCTCGGCACCAATATAGCTGGTCTTGACTCGCTTGACAGGAGTGCCCGGGGCTTTCTTGGTCTGCGTGCTGTTCTTGCTCTTGGCTGTCGCAATACGACGGAAGAAACCCTCGACATCGACTCCCCCATCCAACGCATTCTCGTTCCCAAAGATGGTGGGCCAACCCGAACCAAGCTCAGGCTCAAGTCCTGGGGTGACGAGCATCTCGTCAGAGTTGATGGAGTTTACGCTGGTGGAGGCACGAGGCATCATCTGCTCCATCTCTTCATCGCTTAATGCCACGCCGGAGTCACGCATGTTGCATTTTTTCGGAATCGTGACTGGCTTCTTGTTGCGTGGCGAAGGCGTGTTGGCCGTGACACTGAACGTGAACGATGTCTCCGGATGGGGAGCATTAAAGAACATGTCTTGGTCGTCGTCCTCAATGTCAGTTGGAATACAGGGTGGTGATGAATGCGGAGAAGGCGTCCGAGGTCGCGCCTGGACTGCTTCCCAAGGCTGGGTGCTGCAACTGGGTCCAGCGTAACTATGACGACCAGGACGTGCCAGTGAGTTGTCAGGAGCGGCGGCCCTGGCGGAAGAGAGTCGCGCCCTTGGAACTGGAGGAGGATGAATGGGAGGCCCAAAGAAAAGGGTCGCAGCGCTTTCGATCCGTTCGAGTGGTGCACGTGGAGGGCGCATGTTTGTGACTCGTTTGCGAGGCACGGGTGAACCAGTTTCTGGAGAAGATGGGCAGGATGGAGAGCGGCCGCGAGCCGATGGAAATGCGACCTGTTCATTCATTTTCAATATGACACTGGAGAGGAGCCATGCAATATGACTCACCGGAGACGGAGATCCCCTCATCATCAACTCTTGAGATACCGGACGCGACCGAGCACGTCGTTTCGTTATGTGACCTCCTGGCGAACAGGCTTCGACGATCTCCTCCGGCCTTGAAAGAACGGGGAGTTCGTCGTCCTCAAATTCGTCTTGAAGATCGGAGATGCGGAGCTGTGTGAGGGTGGCAGTATGGCTGCGAATATGAGCATCGGCCTCTGCGATGCTTTGGGGAGTGCGTGTGGCGAATTGAGGGGCCGGAAGGGGCGCAAGGCGCTGGAAAGAAATGCCGGAGCCGCTCGTGGGGGGAAGTGGAGTCAGGCGAAGAGGTGTGCTGATGGTGTGCTGCGATGATTTCCGCTTGGTGCCCGCCGCGGTCGCAGTGTTGGTATTAAGAGAGAGAGGTGTACGACTAGAGATCTTCTTTGCTGGCGTGAGGAGTGGCTTAGTCGGAGAAGCCAGGAAAACTGTGGCGTCCGAGTTTTCCGGAGTCAGAGGACGCGGTTTAAATGGCGATTGTTGAAACATAGCGTCGGTAGGATGTCTACGCAGTGGCGAAGGCGTGAGCATGGGTGAATCATAGGTTGTTCGTGGCGGGGTATGCATGGAAAGCATCGCGTCTGGCAAGAAAAGGGTGGGAAGAGAAGTGGGTCCAGTCAACAAACTCCAGTCACATGCGCGCGTCGCATGGCAAACAATTGACAACTTAGTCCCCCAATTATTACATCTGCTTCCATGGAGGGCCAGGCATGACACGCATCGATAGTCCATGGCCCTCCATGGCAATCGAATGGCCCGAGGCTGACTTGGTCTTTTGTTATATAAATAAATTGCCATCTTGTGGGAGACAATAAGATCTCTCCCGAACCACGGTCTACCAGGCTCAAATCGGGATGACCAAGACAGAGTCATTTATGGCCCATGAATGGACGATGCAAGTCATTGTTGACCCCTACCCCCCCACCAATACCTCGAAATCACTCGCTGGTGCGATTCCGGCCTCTTCAGCGGTCCGGGATGTCAAGTTCATTTCTGAGTCATACTCTCCCACACAAGATCTAGCTCCCAACCGGTTATCAGAGTACTGGATAGGGACAAGTGCACGAAGACCCTCAGCTGGTACAGATCACGTGATATACAGGGAGGGCATAGTTTCGAGTCAGACTGGTCATTGCATTTATTTCGTGGAGTTTGTAAGTAAAGTACATACTACGCTTTCAGTCTAGGGTAAGCGTAATATTAGTACTGTCTTTGTAAGTGCGAGGCATTTTACGTCTGCGCTTGTTTTCTCTGATTTGTTTCCCTATCTTGTCGAGTGCATTCACTTTTGGCAAGAGTGCCTTGGCCAGTGGTGCAGCCATGCCAGTCGTTTGCGAGATGGTGTCATAGACGGCATTAATATTTCGCTTGATCGACTTGAGTTCAGCTTCGGAAAGATAAACCTGAGAGAAGATATCAGTGATTTATCAAAACTCAATTCCAGTAAGAATGAAATACGCGATCATTTGAGCCATCCTCATCGTCCGATGCAAGAGCACGGATCTGCCGATCAGCAGAGTCTCTGGTCTCGGAATTGATATCGAACTCCTCGCTTCCATCTTCATCCATCTCCATATCTGAATTCCTCGCACTGACAGTTGTAGTCAGAAAATCGTCCACCTCGTTCTCGCTGTCCATCACAGATGACCGGGCCATGGAGGACACGGATTGAGAGCGAGAAATACCACGTCCGAGGATGTGGATCTCCGGCATATCCTCGGGCCCATCACTGTCAACGGCAGACTCGTCACCATGAATCCCGGGAATGCGATAATAGGGAGGGAGATGGTTTCGCCGTAGATTGGCGAACATTGCGAGATCTTTAAGTGGTTTATTGTCCAGGGCTTCATTAGTGTAATGGACGAGATGCTTGCAGAGCATGAACCGACTGTAAAGGAATGCGGGGCAGCTGCAAACCCATTTCTGCAGATCCGTGATATAATTACCTGCGGTCCGACCAGCGTTGGCAGCAATTCGAGCCAAACGGTGTTCCCGATCATTCGCATTCTTCGCGTTCTGAACCCAGTCGGCAGCGCGATCAATCCGATGTTGAGAATCAGACTTGCTCAGCTCAGTCCAAGCCATTCGAAAATCCTTCTGCCAACCAACGAGCGAAGGACCTCGCCCCATTCGGCGACTCTGCTGGAGATCCTCGAGATTGCGCTGAACACGCGGGAGGAGATTTTGAATGATGATGTAGGTGACGAGATCCAGTCGAGGGCGGTTGAAATCAGATAAATCTCGATGCTTGATGTGCTTCCACAAGCTCTCGACAATCATCGTTGTGTGGATCCTGGGAATGGCCGCTTCGGGCGCTCGGGCCCAGAGCACCCATTGCGAGGGAGAGTACCAGCGATTCCACATATATGCCCAAACCTGGACGAGGTCGTTGTCCCAGCAGTGGAAATACATATCATAAACGGCAGACTTGTAGAGGTCATCTGCTGAAAGATAGGGTTCATCTGTGTCGTTGATGGGAATTTCGGGATGAAGGCGACCATGGATTGTGTAGAGATCGAGAGTCAATTCCCGAAATTCCGCCGGACAGAACTCGCCCAGATCAGCCTTCTGCGGCTTGGGCGGATTCGGATAGACAGGACGTCGGACACCATCTTGAACCAGTATAAACAAGGGAGGTAAGGATGTGTAACTCTGGCGACGATTTGAGTAAAGGAAAATAAATAAAATAAATATCCAGTGACCTTCGGCCCGTTGTCATCATCTTCTGGGTCGGATTCATCCTCAGAGTCATCGAAGACACGGCGCATTACACCAGGAGCCCATGTTGGGTCGATGAACGAAAAACGCTGATGCGCCTTCCTTGGATCATAATGGGCCGGCAGCTTATTCTCAGCGAGCCGCTCTTTGACATATCGCGGCCCGTGCCACATGCATAACTGGTGTTTTGCATCCGGGAAGACTGACTGAGCAGCATTAATCTCACTGAGATCCTTGTCCGAATGAACAAAGCAGATATTGGGGCATTTTTTGCCCACTGCTTGAAGGACCTGCTCAAGCATTCGGGTCTTGGCACCTTCGGCAAGATTACCAGAGGAGGTTGTGAACACGAATGCAAGTGGAAGCGCTGTGCCATTAGCCTCCGCTACAATCGCATACAGCTCGTACCCAGCTGCATTTGTTTTCCCTGAGACTGTGATCAGCTGGAATTGAAGATTGAACCAAGAAACGCGACACTCACAAGTGGAATCCATTGCAATTGACTGTGTGTCCACACCAAAGTCGTTGATAATGTCACGGAAACTGAATGCGATTGTAGACAGCCCGTCTTCCGGTTTAATTTCAATGACATCAACTGCAAGTCCATCATATTCCGCAAGCAGAGCAGCTGCGGACGCAACCTGATCATCCTTCTTGCGCCAGTTGGCCTTGTTGATGTCACTCCAATGACGGTAGACTTGTTTCTCGGTGATTTTAATGGCCGGGAATTGCTTGATCAGAGCCTCGTAGATCTATGAGATTTCGGTGAGAGTCAGTATGGCACAAATTTGTTAATGTAATTACCTTGGTTGGGGTAGAGTTGTGTGAAGTTTCGATTATCTTCTTTGCTTCGGTAGGAATCGAAATGTCGTTGTATAGGGGATGTGGAATGTGGTGTGATACACGGATGACCGCCTCATCCATTTTCCTCTCATTGATGGTGACATTAAGCCACCCATTGCAGTGGTAGCGCGTCATCTTGACACGTGCACGCTGCTTTGATTCATCTTCATGTAGCTTGTTGTCTGTCTGCTCCCCCTCCAATTGCGCACAGTAAAACTCCGAGTTAATTGTGGCAGAGTCACTAGTGAGAGGACGATGCATTCGGAGGCTGATTACAGACCAGTAATAAATAAGCAGACTTTACAGTGGACAAGAGATACTCACTTCCATCGATAGCCAGTAGAATCCCAGGCAGATCTTGCGAATGCCGATGCAAGAGTTTTTGCAGTCCGCCCTTTTCCCTCAGGGATGGCCAACTTGCCAATGTTGACTTGTGCATGAAGCTCAAACGCGTCCGATCGATGTTTTTCGAGCAGGGACAGGCATTGGGCAAGACTCAGCTGAGGCATTGGTTCCCCGGAGGTGTCTTTGCCGCGCGTGTCACGGACTCTCTCTGAAGTATCTGTAGTTGCTGTGTTCTTCTTTCCGCGTCCTTTCCGGATCTTCGCACAATCGTGGCAGTGTTTCGTGTACGTAAAATTTGCCAGGCGTGGAAAAGATGATTGGGGCCCAGTGTATTTGCATCGGCTGCATTTAACAACAGGATCTGATAGAACTCTAGTCAGAGAGAGGGATTATGATCATGTAACTCACCTGAGCCGTTGCTGCTCATTGTCGCGCACAAAAAAAAAGAGCGAAGATCTCGCAGATCAAGGCGCCCACATCATATCTCGGTCTGATCCGGCAACGACACTGCATCGTGCAAAATGTAAAATAAATTCCACGAGAGAAACTCGAACTACACACCTTAGCATTAATCTGATCTCAATAGTTAATGTAACCATTATACTATGCCGACTTGGTTAAGAAAAATCCGAAGCGGATATGTACCAATACCTGACACCCAATTATGTATATTAAATCAATTATCCATCCAGATTCGAACTCATGCCCTCTCGATAGGACACGTGATCTGTACCGCCTGAGGGTCTTTGTGGCCGAGTCCTGGATAGGGTGTTCTGGCTCATCTTTCCCGCCATCTCTTTCCTCTTACCACCATGGATATCTCGTGTGTTTCGTCGTCCCACCATCGTCAACGCTCTCTGACAGACGTAGTTCGATCCTACAGGGCGGTTATCAACACCCTCTCAGTCGTCAATGGCAAAGTCGACGGCAACTGACAAAATCCATGCTCATGTACCCTATCTTCATCACCGATGACCCCAACGCCAGCGATGAGATTGCCACCCTTCCAGGTCAGCGCAGATGGGGCGTCAATCAGCTCGAAGGGTTCTTGGGCCCTCTGGTGAAGAAGGGCCTCCAGAGCGTAATCCTCTTCGGTGTGCCTCTTTCGTGTCCAAAGGTCCGCCCAATGAACGGATGATTTCCCGGCCACGACTGACGCCAGGCCACAACAGGATTTCCGGGGAACTCCCGCCGATGATGAGGAAGGGCCGGTCATTCTCGCAATCAAGAAGATTCGCACCCATTTCCCAGATCTGTACATCGCTTGCGATGTTTGCCTTTGCGAGTATACTGACCACGGCCACTGTGGCCTACTGCACAATGACGGGACGATCAACACTGAGCCTTCAGTAGAGCGCATCGCGGAGGTCGCCCTCAATTACGCCAAAGCTGGTGCTCACTGCGTCGCACCTAGCGACATGATGGACGGGCGCATTAAATACATCAAGCGGGCACTCATCGATGCTGGCTACGGGAACAAGTGCACCCTGATGTCCTATTCAGCCAAGTTTGCCTCTGCTCTCTATGGGCCTTTCAGAGATGCTGCTGGCAGTGCTCCATCATTTGGCAATCGCAAATGCTATCAATTGCCACCAGCTGGCCGTGGGCTCGCCAGACGTGCCATTGTGAGTCTTCGCCGGATCCTCCGATCTGGGTGGCTCAACTATTCACAGCAACGGGATACCGCTGAAGGCGCTGACATAATCATGGTCAAACCTGCCATGCCGTACCTCGACATCATTGCTGATGCAGCCCAATTGGCACCCGACCATCCGCTGGCATGCTACCAAGTCAGCGGAGAATTCGCAATGATCCATGCGGGTGCTGCTGCTGGAGTTTATCCTCTTCGTGACTTGGCTTTCGAGTCTGTGGACGGCATGCTCCGTGCAGGTGCGTTCTTCGTTGATCGTTCGGCTACTTTTGCTCACACTGTTCTAGGTGCGACTCTGATTCTGACATACTTCACACCCGATTTCTTGGAATGGTTGGACTAGGTGGTAGTCAATCTAATCAACAACTTGTATTGCCCACAGTGTAAACCAAGTAGTAAAACGACTGTACGAATATGACACGTGCTTGCGTATCGCTCCTACGTCATCGCTTATACTTGTCCCACTTATACTTGTCCCACTCTTCCATGACCCTGACGAAGATTGCTTTCTTCGCGCTTTCTGGCGTGGTACTTGTCGGGACAGTGTACTCTGTCACGAAAGAAACGTACCTGGATACATCGAATCCCTTGCTTGCCCATCTCCCTCATCCATTAGGCAAGACCCACTACTGGGCCAACAAGGCCAATCCATTGAACGTGTACTTCATAAAAAAGGCATGGGCATGGACATCAGCTGCCTTCCTCTTCCTCTGGTCTACCGGCCCTCCCTCCGCAAGAACTTTCACGCGTCTCAGTCGTTGGTTCATTGCTACCGCAGTATGGCTCGTCTTCACCGCCTGGTTTTTCGGGCCAGCCCTGTTCGAGCGTATCACCCTCGCATCCGGAGGCGAATGTCTCGTCAGCCTTCCGTCCGGAGATTACGTCTCCGTGCCTCCAGAACTCTGCCACGCTCGGACTGCGGTGTCACCTGCGACGCATCCCGCGCTCTTCGTTGAAACCGCATCGTTCGCGTTGTCTCCAGATTGGCTCGCCATACCCCGTATACGGAAAGGACACGATGTTTCCGGACATATCTTCCTCCTGACGCTGTCCATCTTGCTGCTCGCACAACAACTCTCCCCATCTTTTTCCGCGACGCGCTGGTCCACACCACATACCGTGGCCGCGTATGCTAGTATCGCTCTGGTCGGCATCTGGCTATTTGCGAGCTGGACAACCAGTCTTTATTTCCACTCCCCCGGAGAGAAACTTACAGGATACTGTGCGTGCCTCCTTCAAGTCCTGTTTAATCTGCCACTAACGATCCGCCAGTGCTGGGCGTCGTGTCGTTCGCATTAACTCAGGTTTGGGGCAGCTAATACCGTGTAATATGTACCAAGTCTCCAAGTGATTGTCCCTGTGCTACAACATTGCTAGAACATCCATAGGGCAAACGCCCAAATCATCAAAGCGGGCATAAATATACCGAAAGAGTCGACGACAGTGGCCCACCATATTCCCTTGCGACGCAGGAGCATGTCCCCATCTGCACCAGGTGCAAGATAGGAAGCAAGGTCGTGCAAAGAGGCCCAAGTTGGGATGGAGAGCGTCATTCTTCTCCTTCTCCCAGCCAAGACAAACGAGAAAGACCAAGACCAGCCACGCAATGCTGTGGGCTTGAGATTCCCTGCGACTGGCAGCACGAATTCGGGTGAGCTCCAGTCTTCCTGGTGGTGATCTTGGCGCTGGAAGGCGTATTGTGGAGGGAAGAGACTATCCTCCTCTTCATCTTCAGGCGGGAACAACATTGTCGGCCCCAGCACGCCAGGCGTCGCCAACGGGGTCGATGGACGAGACGCAGCTCGCATCGTTGGTCCAGGCGATGCCCCGTTCGGAGTGCGCAATGTTGATGGCAGAGCGGATCGAGGGCTTGAAGCCACAGGTGGTGTGAACGGAGACCAGATGGCAGAGCTTGGATGTAGCGGAGTGGCTGTTGCAGCACTGCTCAACGGCGAAAGGGGCACTGCGGGCAGTGGCATGTGCCGTAGACGACGGGATCTCTGCAAATTGAAAAGGACCAAGAACAGAACCGTGCCGAATGCGAATGTAGGGTACCAGGACCCGCTCAGGGAGGTATCGGGGAGAAGACAAGGTGCGTCTGCAAAAGACTTGCCCCCTGGCAATGGATCGACGACAGAAACCAATTGGAACCCGGGTCGTCGGATGTGGCTGGACTTGGAAAAGGATTTTATCGTCACCTCGTGGATGGACAGCGGTGTATCGGCTGGGTCGACGGTTATTGTGTGATTATATTCGCAGTAGTCTCTATTATCTCCGCTGGAAATTGGGCGTAAGGATTTTCTAGACACTATCGTGAGGTTACGTACCTGAAAACTCCCAGTGGTCGCAGTGTTTTCAACAAAAACGCAGTGGTTTGCTTGCCCAACGTGTTCTGGTAGCCATGTCCCACACCTCGACGGATCGACCCTTTTTCTCTGAGGGGACCACAGGATGCACGATCAGGTCTAGATAAAGGAATATGAGATAGCAGAAAAGTTGGTCGTCCCGCTGAGAAGATGATCAACAACTAGAGATGTCGAAAACGTTGCATATCACCTGCGGAAACAGATTTGACGAATTCTATCGACCCTCCACGGATGGGAGACCACTTTTCGTAGCCCAGCCCACTGCCCGAACGCTGATAATCTTCATCCACCAAGTTCGGTGCGTCCAGGCATATAAACACGTGATCGCGAATGATGACTTCTCGGTTGAATGGACCGACGATATTCGAGTAGTACACCCGGACATTCTTCGGTGAAGTATGCGATAATCCCATGCTATAATTCCTCAACTAAAGTTCCCAAAAAGATAGATGAACTCACGCAACGTCATTGTTACCTGGTAAAAAATACTGCGAATAGGACGCGTCTTTAGTAAATAGGGCTTGGAACTTCCGCCAATAGGTCTTATATCTGGGCTCGTTAGACTAAAGAAACGGCTAGAAGACGCGATCGCTTACTCCGCTTCTGATCTCGCATACTTGCCATTCGAGAGCATGTCACCGAGGAAGAAGACGGCATGTGGATTCAGGCGACGAGTGACGTGCCAGCTCCTCTTCAGATTCGACTCATACAGTAGATGCTCAAGAAAGCCCGTCCAAGGACGATCGTCCCAGGCGGAAGGATGGCGCACTTGAGGATCCGAGAGGAGGAGAACGTGTGTGGGTTTGACCCGACGCCATTCGGGCTATGAGCCGGAGTCAACGGAGCGAATAACAACAGTAGCAGAAAGAAAATCACGAGGTCGGGCCATCTGCAAGAGGAGAGAGACCAGAAGTAGACACCCTTGAGCCGTTCATGAGACTGTGTCCATTTGTGCAAGACACCAGACACTCACTACTTCTCCCCAAATCAGCACCACTACCCACATGAACCGAATACCATGGAATACGAGTCGGCGGGAAAGCACGCGTGTGGACCGAGTGGTGTGCGGCCTAGACTTGCGTCGCTCGCTGATACCCATAATGATATTCGCGACGCGCAGGGATTCCGGAAATGCTTGAGGAGGAGGGGGTGCAAAGAGTTGTTTATCGAGAACGCTGCCAGCGCGACGAATGAATGAGTGCAGAAAGGCGGAAATTGAGGGACTAGGGAATCATTGGGTCAGGGACACCAATGCCAGACGGACGTGTCAGTCGGGAAAAGCCGAGCTGTTCCATTCACCACCTGATGTCTGCGAAAGGCAATCATTAGATCCGTGTTGTCGCTCATTCGGGTCGAAGCCTCGGATATACTGAGAGTGAAAAGGTGCACTTATAATGAGGGAAAGTAGAGAATAAATAAGATGTAGACTATTCCCAATCACTATCCCCGTCAGATTCGGTTTCAACACTCGGTTTTTTCTCTTCCTGTTTTTGTTTTTCTGAGGGCACTACGTCGTAGCTTCCCTCGCTGCTGGCACGTGGGCTAGCTGTAGCAGGAGTTACGGCCTCGGACTGTGGCACGGGTAGAGTCTGAACGTCCGCGGAGCCGGCGACAGATGGTTTAGAGGTTGCGGCCTCATCATCGTCCTCCCAGCTGAAGTCTTCCTCGTTCTCATTCGATCCTGGTAGAAGCTTGAGAGACAGAACGAAAGCAAACGATTGACATACGTTGTAGCAGAGCTTTCCTCTTGTTTTCTTCCTGCTCGATTTGGTGTACGCGGAAGAAGTATCGGTACCAAAATACGTCCTCTGTCATTTCAGCAGGGACTGCGCGCATTGAGCATACAGCCGTGCCATGAAAAGAAAGAAGACGCACCCAACGAATCCTTGTTTGCCTTTAAAGCTTCTCCGTCCTGTCCAGTCAGTGCAGATGCGATCCTTTCCTCCCATGCTTCGTCCACGATGACCGTGCCAACCCACTGCTCGTACAGCCCCTTGCCATCGGCGTCAGCAGCCGGATCGAGCTTGATGATTTCAGGGTTGTGTTTCAGTTGCTTCAAGAGTGCCTCTGCACGAGTCGCCACCGCAAGCTGCGTGTCCGCCCCAGTATTAGCGCGCATCTTGCCTTTGTTAGATGCGTCAGGCGTAACATCCATGGGCAACGTCCACATATCCGTGCCACCCCAGACCAAGCCGCTCCCTTGTGTCAACTGGGAGTCGGATGGAGGCACCACCTTCACTGCATCCCGTAACACATCGCCTGCCTCCTTCACAGCTTCCTTCAACAGCGCCTCGCTCTTCTGCACATACTCCTCGGCTTGGGCCCGTGTCACACCCTGCACACGCTGGAATTCTGTCGACAAGGTCGTGCGCATCTGCGCAAAATCGATGTTTCCCGAAGCGTCCTTCAGAGTCTCAGGGAGCCGACTTTGGACGGTGGAAACGATGTTGGGAGGCAACGCCGACTGGAGGCGCGAGAACAAGCCAGTGGAGCCGACTGAAGAGGACGTGGAGCCCGACGCCGATGGCAATTCGGGGGCAGACTCGCCGGCCTCGACTTCATCGCCAGCCTTCTCAGATGATGGCTGAGTAGGAACATCTTTCGGACCTTCCGAAGTGAGCTTAGAGAACTCCTGCTGAGCTTGGGTCACCACGCCGGTGAGATCCTTTCGCGCAGCTTCAAGGGCAGTTTGGCTCTGGTGCGGCTGCATGAGACACCCATGGAAGCTGGACGATGATCTAAGCGTACTTGTTTCCGGAAATTGCCCCAGAAGTTCCCGAACGACTTGACCACCTCGTTCACCTCCTCATCAAGACTCTGCTCAGGTTGTTGCGGCGGCGTGCCCGCTGTTAGATCATACGGGTCCAGAAAGTTGTTCATATCGTTGAGTCGGTGAAGGCAAGTAGTTACTAGTAACAACGAAGTAACGATCACCTAATAAGTAGCAAGGATCATTCGCACATGGTACTCACACATTGATGTCATTGTCACAGTCCGCCAGGTTTCAGCTCCAGTGTGCAAAATACATATGATTCCAGAATATACAACAAGCTCAATTTAAGCTGTGGCCTCCATCATTCGAGGACGAGTTTGAGCCAAAGATGCCGCGCTTGTGACGTCCACAGCAGGACTCATAGCTGCTTTGACAGTTCGGCACTCATGTAAGAAATCAGTGAACATCTACAGTGGCATAAGGACATGTCAGGATAGAAATAAATAAAAAAGAACGAACCTCGATAGTGTCAAGCGGTCCGCCGGCGCTCTCCGGGTGGAACTGTACACCCCAGACTTTCTTTCCGGAATCCGTCGTCGACTTGATACCCTCAACGGAAGAATCGTTGCAGTTGATGAAGAACGGTTCCCAGCCTTGGGGGAAAGGGTCTTGCAACTTCAGAGCGTATTGATGGTTTTGACTATCTAAGTCAGTACATGTAACAGTTGTGTCATAGCAATGACCTACCTGGTGACATAGACACGACCGGCCTTGATAGAACCAGCAGAAGCTAATGCGAGAACAGGTTGGTTGTGGCCACGATTGCCGAAGGTCATGCGATAAGCGTCCAATCCAGCGGCCATTCCGATGATCTGGTGCCCCATGCAGATGCCGAACACAGGCTTGTCCCAGTGGTTCAAGGTCTCACGCAGCTTCAAAGCAGCGTCCATGCAATGCAAAGGATCTCCGGGTCCATTGGTCAGGAACAGGCCGTCAAACTGATCCCGAACGGAATTGAAGTCGTAGTTCCAAGGAAGCACGGTGACCGCTGCACCTCGGCGGACCAAGGACCTCAGAATGTTGGCCTTGGCTCCGAAATCAAGTACAGCGATCTTGACGTCACCCGTGGTGTTTAGTTCATATGGTTCTTTCGTGGAAATTTGGTCGACCAGGTTCTCTTTCGAGGGGTCCCAGTATTCGGCGCTGTCGGGTGGTGCGGCCAGCGTGTCCTGTCCAATGGCAATACGCCCCAGTGTTGTACCCTGATCACGCAAGAGGCGGGTGATGGCACGCGTGTCGACGCCGGTAATGCCGGGAACTTCGTGTCGCTTACACCAAGCCGCGAGAGACTCGATGGCAGAATGATGTGAGAATCTCTGTGCCACGTCAGCAACAATGACGCCGGCACATTGAATGCGCTGTGACTCGAGGACCACGCCAACGTCGTGCGAGTCGAAGGGTGCGGTATTGGCAGGCACTCCATAATTGCCAATGAGGGGAGTAGTGAAAACAAGGATCTGTCCGCGGTAGGAAGGGTCGGTCATGGATTCAGTGTCTGTGGACCATTAGGCTATGTAGGGGATAGAGTGGCATGACTAACAAGAGGTGATGGAGGTTGAGAATACGGTCTCTCCGTATATGCTCTTGGGAGACCCGAACGATTGTCCCATGAAGGACTGCCCAGTTTTGAGATGTAGGGCAGCGGGCACGGCTGTTAAGGGTCCAGTGTGGGTAGCGAGTCCGCGCACGAATCGAGGAGTGAGGAGAATGTGGCGGGAAAACATGGCACAGGAAGTTTACTTGAGGAGAGTGAAGACTTGGTCACTGATATAACTGGGGGGAGTGAGTGAGTGCACAGGTCGAGTAGGAGATACTCACTCGTCGCGTGTGTTTTGGGTGAAGACCATCAACCGATGAGGGAGTCAAGAATGAAAATTTTGGATCACGTCAAGTATAATGCCGTGACTGGCCGGCGTGACAGTGGCAGTGAGGGCCTGTGACTTGGTCCGGTGTGAGGGCGGCTCACAGGCTGGGGCTAGTCGTTACAGATGGCTGCCGGCGATTATTACTTTTCAAGAAACTATGTACTGAGGCTAATGATAGGTTATGCTTCTATCTATGCAGGATGGTAGCGGTTACTTCTTGGCGCCTGCTCGGCGACCTTTCGGGATGTGAGATGGCTTTTCATCTTCCGAGTCTTCATCGCTGCTGGAGTCATCGTCGGGCTGCCTGCCATACATGTCATTGATGGTGTTCTTGGTCTTCGCAGATGTTGAAGGAAGCAAGGCGGGCTGGCGGGCCGAGGGACCGAATCCGAGTGGCTGACTGCGCATCATCTCGCTCAGACCCCGATACTGGCGCTGAGATGCTTGCATGGAAGCAGCGACCTCGTCCTCGTCGTCTTCGTCATCCGAGTCATCTTGCGGCACGGCCTGATTCCCTTGGCTCTCGTTCCACTGCGAATAAGGGTACCCCATATCTTGACTTTCCGTTGGCAAAAACAGCCCAGCTGGCTCCGAAGGGGCACTGCTAGAGCGGAGCTCGTCACGCATGGATTCGTCACGCGTCCGTTCAGGCGAAGATGCTGGGTTTAGTGTAACCCATGTATTCTGTGGCACAGAAGGCGTTTCTTCGGCGTTGGCTGGCTGTTCTGCGGTGGTTGGCTCCTCCCTGCTCTGTTCGTCCTGTGTGCTATCCTCGACTCGGTTCTGAGCCTCGCTCCTCTTCTTCTGGTTTGCAGATTTCTTGGCAGCGACCTTCGCGTCGGCCTTTTCCTTTCTCGCGCGCTCCTTCTCTTCTTTCGCCGCAGCCTTAGCGGCAGCCTCCTCTTCCCGCTGCTGGGGTGTCTTGTTTGGGCCCCGCTTCCGCTTCGGCGGATCGACAGATGCAGGTTCGGTGATGGTACGGGAGCGCGTCCTTGTCATTCGACGACCAAGAACGGTCGTCGAAGTGTCTCCGGCGCTGTCAACCAGAGAAGGAGAGCTCGCGATTGCGCTGTTTATCAGGGAAACAGGCGGAGGCAATTGCGTCAATGGTGTTCTGCCCTGCCGGTCTTTCGACTGCCGCGTTACCCGTGGAGTTGCTGGTGGCTTAGAAGGTATCGGTGAGAAGCTGTCGGCCGGTTGGATGGGATCGTCTTCTCGCGGAGGCGTCTCGAATCGAGGACCTGATGAGTGAGTTGGTTCTACCCGCGCTGGTTGCGCTGGTTGCTTGTCCCGAATCCCGAACATATGCTCGTCGTTGGCCATTGCGGCATCAACAGCAAGATCGCCGTGTACATCGTCGGCAACAACAGATTGCTGACGATCGTCGATAGTAGTCAAGGTGTCTGGCGCAGTCGACTGATGTCCAGAAAGCGGACCCGTCGATATCGCCTCTGGAACAATTCTTCGACTCGAGACCGGTTGCTCTGGTTGCTCTGGTTCGTCCGGTTCGTTCTCTTCCTCGTCATCTGACGATATCGCCCGCGCGTACACTCGACGAGATAGACGACGGAATGCCGGGTCGTCCTGGTTGTCCTCCTCGAGCACAACACTCTCGCAATCTGCTTCCTCGTCATCAAAGTCCATTGCATCCAAAATTGCACTCGACAGCATAGGATCTCGAATCAAAGCGTCCAACTCCGGGTCAAGATGTTCCACGACTGGCCCACGTTTTCGAGCACTGACTAAAGCAGGTTCTGGGTCGCTCGAATCGTCCTCCGATGCGCCTTCACGGACTCCAATCACACGCGATCCGCTTCGAGGGCCTGCAAGCGAGTCAGATGCCTCTGGCACCCTTGTCACGGAGCGACCAAGCGAAGAATGGGTATTCACATGTGCAGTCGCACTGCGTGCAGACACGTTGCTCTTGTCACTCTTCTGGACCAGGGCACGGAGCTCGTTGATCACTTTCGAGTGCGCGGACGCATCTGCCACTTCCAGTTCTCGAATCCGCTGCTTCATGCGAGAAGGACCAGCGAGAACGATTGGACATTGGTCGGGCTTATGCACGGGTGATTGTGCGCAGATGTCACAGTTTCTCGGGACCAAACCAGGGGACGATGTGCGGGGCACCCTGGCTTTTTTCGAGAGCCTTGCTGACGCCGATTCCTCAGCAGGCGCGACTATGGTTGGAGAGATCACTGGAGTGGCGAATTTCTCTTTCCAAAAATCCTGAAGCTCGGCTGGGTTGACTACGGATTTCTCTGTGCGAGATATCAATAAGTTTGACAAATACCGACTCGGAATGTAGATTACCAACACTATCATCCTGCCGAGAGTTTTTCTTCGCTTTGTTCGTGCCTACAATCGCTGAAAATCAAGATGAAGCGATCTGAGAAGAGAATACAGACCATGCGGTTGTTTGGTCGCGCTGGGGAGCGCCGCATTTGATTCTCCTAAAAGTGAGAGTCAAAGAATGAACGAAATCAGGTCCACAACGAACATGCCTGGAGAGACTATGTCGTTGGCGTGCTGCTCTTTTCCGTCACCGGTGCTATTGAGGTCAACGGCTTCAGATTGTTTCTTCTTCTTCTTCTTCTCTCTCTTGGGTTTCTCTGGAGCAACAGAAGGGAGAATGTCTTCTTCCATAACAGTTGCAATAGAGGCGGAGACATCTTGGACTGTCTTGTTTTTTGTTGCTTTCTTGCTTTTCTTCTTCGGGGGCTCATGCAATGGGGTTGCAGATTTTGAAGCTTCTGGCGGGCCAGAAATCGAATCAGAGTCCTTGCTCATCTCGCTGTGGTGGCGTTTCTTAGTCTGTGTCTTTGTATGACCATGTGCCGGATCAGCGGCTGCATCTTCAACAGTGGGTCCAGAAGATTGGATGGCATCTGCAGCTGGTCCCGGAGCCGAGTCGGTTGCCTTTTCTGCGGCGGGCTGTATGGGCTGTTCGACGGATCGCTGGACACACATGAGGTCGTACTGCACTGGGAAAGCCCACTCACAAGTTCCTCTGTTGAAGCAATTTTGACTGCGACACTGACTGACGACGAAGAGGAGTGCGCGAAGGCATCGAAAGCAGCAAAATCATCCTCTGATCGATGCTGTGAATATCCAGCGCCGAGCATATTAAACGGCTATTACCGTTTTCGAGTGAGATATCAACATCGTAGAATAGCGTGAAGGAGGCGAGAGATGGTAGTTTGAGACGCTTTCGAACATTCTCCTTGATTTCTAGGAGTGACGACTCTACGATCGAGATCGTCAGACAGCGTGTTCCCGAGTCCACCGTTGCGCGCGCACCAGTGAAGAGCTTAGCGAACCGATTATAACCCGGGGCAGAGTATATGAGGGTGGGGACATCGGGTGCACGCTTTCGCTTCAAAGAACCACCGTCCATGTGCGCTCGGTCGACGCGTCGAGCGTCAAGAGTGAGAACGCTGCGAGCAAGCAAAACACTGAACGGAAATTGGAACTCGGGTATAAGCGGTGTCACTCCACGTGACTAGCATCTGCACCTTGCCCGGACCCTTGCATTCCCGACTATGGCTGGTCCTCAATGTGCGCCAGACTGTCACAATCCGCGCAAATTCCAACTTAGTCCTGTTCTCTAGCCCCCGGATTCCATCCTCATCTCCCCGGACGGGGCTACACGATGCTCGCTAAAGGAATTGGTGCCACGATGTGGTTCTTCATATTCTACAGACTACGGTACGGACCCTCTCATCCTGCGCAAGTCGCTCTTTGCTGACCAATTCCCATCCAGACAAGATGGTGGAAAGCTGCTGGTATAATCTTTACACAACCTTTCGGAGAACAACTCTTGACGAAGTGGCAGGGTCATCATCCTTTCCTGGAACACGGACATGGCGGTCACGGCGAAGAGCATGCCTCGGGGTCGGCGCACCATTGAGTACCGCGTGCTGTATGAGAATGTGTATCGGAACTGGAGGAAGCACAACTGTCGAATCAAATGTTGCATCCTCCGAATCCAAAATGCACTTCATGCAGGAACCTTTGTATTTATCAGCAACAATAAAGACGCATAGATTGGGCAGCAAGCATCCGTCTCGTTGTAGCAGGTAGACGCCAGCTAGAATTGGGTCGAATGAAATGAAATGGCTTGAATTCGATTGAGCGTGACCTGTTTTAGTACTTGCCTGTGCTTTCCTTCCACCACTTCGTAGAGTACGACAGTGGATCGACGTTTGTAATGCACATTCTGAGCCGGCCTCGTTTTGTTGTTGAGTCGCTCCGACTTCTATGGTTGGGCATTGCTGTCTGGTAAGCCTTCTACATGCCCGGTGCCCGATCTCTCTCAGGCCCTGTCCAAGGTACGAACACATCGTCTTCTTGGTGACTATCCGTAGATGCTCTTGGCCCGACTCCGATACTCTTGGTTCCCCCCCTTCGCATGTTCTCATCGTTGCTGACCCGCAAATCTTGGACCACCGGTCGTATCCTGAACGCGGGCTGGTCCTGACGTACATATCCCAGTTCTTGGTCGACTTGAATCTCCGGAAAAGTTGGCGTGCGTCTCTGAAGCTCAAGCCTGACGTGGTTGTGTTCCTGGGAGGTGGGCTATCGAAGACAAGATTGCCCTGAGCCAGTGACAAATTGACGGTAATAGATATGATGGACGGAGGTAGATTTGCCATGTCGGATGCGGAGTAGGTTGTCACCTCCGTCTGCGCCGCGAGACCCATTTTCTCCCACAGATACGAGCGCTATTTTCGGAGATTCAAGAGCATATTTGCTTGCCCTTCCACTATTCCCCAACATTACATACCGGGGAATCATGACACAGGGTCAGTACGACTGAAACCATAGTGAGCCGGGATTTCTGACTTGAACAGCCTGGGCGCATCCGAGGAGTTTTCTGAGCACGCGAAAGAGCGATACATCTCGCACTTTGGCCCATTAAATCATCATGAACATCTCGCAAATTACACTCTCGTATTTCTCGATGGGCCCAGCCTTGCAGAGGAGGAAAAGCTGCGACCTGGTCGCTCCTACTTTGAGACCCCGTCAACTCCGAGCGGTCCTATCGAGTTCACTCGTTCTTTCTCGGCCTGTGGGAATTGTCGTTTGTCTAGTGCGGCGCAACTACTGACAGGTTCCGTTGCAGCGGCTCATTCGAATCCCATCGTACTCTTCACTCACATTCCTTTGCATCGGCCTGATGGATCGAGCTGTGGCCCTCACCGGGAGCGAGGGTCAATCCGACGAGGCTTCGGCTTTGGTTACCAGAACACACTTAGTCGGGCGACGTCGGATTTTTTGTTGCAAAGTCTGGAGCCGGCGGTGATTTTCAGGTGTGTTGTTGCCTGCGATTAAAGCGCAATTTGAACAATTCGTACAGCGGAGACGACCACGACTACTGTGAACACACTCATTCTTTTGTGAACCAGGGCAAGAAGAAGCTGGTTCGTGAAGTCACAGTCAAGAGTCCTTCGATGGCAATGGGAATCCGGCATCCCGGGGTGCAGCTGTTGTCTCTCGGGCCATCAACACACAATGACGCACTTTGCCTCCTGCCCGATCAGCTCGGAATATACCTTTCTGTCTACATCCCTCTGCTCGTTCTTTCGCTTGCTCTTGTTCTTTTTGCAAACTTGCGACGAGTACAAACACGGAACGAACGCACGTCTCCTCTGCGCTACAATCTTGGGCGGTCTAGTGATGACTACCCTCCGGAGAACCTTCCCAACCCTGGTTCCCACAAAACAAGATTGAAGAAGCCTATCCTGTCTCAATCCTTTGTCATCTTTGGACAGCGACGTCGCATTGATATTCATTTCAGCTCGATCTACCGACTTGCCACGTGTTGCTATGATAGTCAGGGTGTCCCACGACTGCGGGGTTTCTGGATGGGAGCGCTCGTCGACGTCAGGGATGTCGCAGTCGTCCCGTTAGCAATATTCAGTATTCTATCTTGGTGGATGTTCAGATAATCGAAATAGCACGTTTCGCACGCTGTCATCACTTATCGGCACACAACATGTGATCGTGTCCTGCCAATCTCCCTATCCATGTCGACGCTCAAGTATGACTCCCATGGACCTTGACCCCCCAGCGTACCCGGCACCGTCTCCAACGTCTCCTGCTCCTTCATATGCGTCGTTGCCCCGGGATGGCGACTCGAGTATCGAGTATACTCCTCGTGCAGGACGCGCCCGGGTCGAGACAGGGACATTGATCAAGACTTACAAGGATGGGTCTGCAATTATATTCAAGCACCAAGACGCACAGAACGACTCGCCTATCTACGGCCGAAACTCGGTCGTGTCTGGGGAGATTGAACTGGAGCATCTCGACACGGTCGTGTCCGTCACCAGCAAGGTGGGTTGGCAACCGATTTGGATTGGCCTACATTGATATTCGGTTCAGCTGGACTGCCACCTCCATCTCTCTTCCTCCGATTCTGGCTCCGAAACCCGAAAACTGGTTGACCAACGCCATACGCTGTGGGACTCAGCGGGAACTAGTCGTCCCGGTCGTTGTCCCACCCTAGTCGGTTTCGCTATCCCGTTTCCCATGACCTTCACGGATCATGACCGTCTGTTCCGCACGCCACCCACATTCGAGGTGCGCGAGGAGAATGCCGGTTCTTCAGCCACGAGGTGAACGTGTTTCAGACGATCTGCTTGGGCAATCCGCTTCTAGTGGTGAAATCCGCTTACAGTCTAGTGATCACTGTGACGAGGACTAGCAACCGGCGGCTATCTTTTCGGAAAACGGCATCCAAATCGTATGTTCTCCTCGCTGCAGGGCGCAGGGATTGATTCGAGTCGAATAGGTACATCATCCCCCTGGTCTTCCGACCTCGTGAGCGAGGCTGCCGCAAATCTGGTGCTTTCAGAATCTCAACAGCGTGTAGGAACGCGACCTGCCCGCCCGATACTTCCTAACCCAACTCTTTTCACGACCCTGAAGGAAGCGCCAGCAGAATGGCACCAGATGGAGGTCAAGATACCCGTGCGTCAAGATAGAGCGGTTCAATCGATTACTTGCCATGAAAGCCGCACGCGCATCCCAGGCCATTGATTCCTACTGACACCGTTTGCAGTTTTTGATCCCGTCCGTGCAAACGTTCTGCCTGGCTGACCAAATACCGTTCCATATCCAATTGACGGGAACACGCGCCTCGCTAGGCCTTTTCTATGGCGCGGTTTCGCCCGATGCACTTGCCGGCAAGAAGTCGCGTCGCCGGTTCTATTCTGCTGTAGTTCGGGTCTTCCTTGCGAGACAGATCTATCTCGAAGTTAATGCGCGGCCATCTTGGAGGACCATGACGGTAGGAGAGGGCAAGCTGGAAGCGATTCCACCGCATGAAAGCACTAGGGAAGAAGCAGAGGGAGGGGCAACGGACATAGTGTCGGTAAATTGGGAAGGACAAGTGCGATGTAGGGACGATATGACCTGTGCGAGCTTCAGTACCAACCATCTCATAGTCAAGGTGCGTCAGAGAAAGCATCTCCCAAGGCGTAAGGATGACGGCTGACCAGGACTTTATCATTTTTGCGCTCACACCTGCCAACGCACGGAGCTCCCCCCTTCAGTCAATTCGACATGCCCATCCCATTCGCCTTGTCACGGACGGATACATGGACGACGACATGGCACACCCGGAAGACTATTGAGGCCCAGACGATGCGCCGTACCACGATAGCCAACTTCTAGTCAAGAATCGTGACAGATGCACACGAGACAAAACGCGTTGACAAAGACAGTCAATCGCCGCAAGGACGGAGCAGATCGGCACGTATCTTGCTTACTACTTCGTCAGTATCCTCCTGCACTGAATTCTGTTTTGGTGATGTTGCCAATGGCTGGGACATGTCCCGGACTCAGCTGCAGAGTGTCAGTGAAAGTGCATATAAATACCCACTCAGTAATACCATTGACTCAAGTTGAACATTCGTGCGGGTCGGCACTGAACACAACTGAATGAGGGTCACTCACACTCTGTTCAAGCAAAGCTCTGATTGTAGTACTGTCATCGACCATTCATCAGCTGTATTTCCGTTTAGCTATGAGGCATCGACGGATTAGAACGGAAGTGAGGATCACAAGTCCTTGACAAAATGTGATTACACGTAGGATGTCCCGGGCGCGGTCGATCACGCACTGTAACTGACGAAAATGTGATGCTAGGCGGCAAGCTGTACAGAATTATGGCCCTTGCATGCGGGAACCCGCGTTGTCGGCGATTGAACGCTGCGTGGGACGAAAAACGAAGATTGTCACGGCGAGTAAGCGAAAGGAGCCATATCTAGAAGGTCAGGCCTGCGATCGGAGATGCACTTCTATCGGGGGAAAGAACCTATAAATTGTAGATGCGAACGTTTGTTACAGGGGCCTGGATGCTCACGTCACGCGGAAAATCTACTACTTATACTTTGACCACAACATCCACCACGCCCAGATTTTCCTCTCTGTGGATCGAGCCCATAAGTGAGGAGCCCGAAGACCTCGCCGCTCCAAACACAAAGCGTCATCGTACTCGTACTCCACTCACACGAACCCACTCTGCTCCTCAACTCATCTCCACGAAAACTACACAGCCTTTCCACACATTCAGGTGCGACTGTTTCCCTGCGCGCGTTCCAATCTCTCCGTTCCTCATACACGCACTCTTTGTCCAGAATGGCCAACTCCAACGCCACCTTGATGCCTCGTGCTGATTCGTTCAACGCGCGCGTCCGGGGCACCAGCCACATCGATTTCCGCACCGCGACCACTGGTGTCGCCGCCAAAACGATGCGCAACGAGATTAGCCACCTCGTGGCTACCATCAGCGATCCTCAGACCAAGAAGGTGCGTTCGTCTTTGACTCCCTATTCCCCGTTCTGACGTGGATGCAGGCATTCGACACCGAGATGCAGGCGTTCTTCTACCTGTTCACGCGCTATTTGTCAGAGCGCGCCAAGAGCGTCGACCTGTATGTTGTTTCCATTGCCCCCTGAGGCGCGTTTGCTTAGGGTTTGTCACAGCGACTGGGACCTCATCAAACCCCCTGCCGATGGCCAGATTGTGCCTTATGCCGATCTCCCAAAGCCGAAGGATACGAAGAACATGAACAAGCTCGCCGTCCTCAAGGTCAATGGAGGACTGGGTACATCTATGGGTGAATATGATTAACTTTCGTGTGCGATCACCTGATTAACTTGATTAGGGATGACTGGAGCGAAGAGCGCGCTCGAGGTCAAGGACGATATGACCTTCCTCGACCTCACCGTGCGCCAGATCGAGCACTTGAACACGACTTGCCATGTTGACGTCCCTCTCATCTTGATGACGTCATTCAACACGCACGAGGATACCCTGCGTATCATCAAGAAGTACGCGAACCAGCAGCTGCGCATTACCACCTTCAACCAGTCTCGTTACCCCCGTATTTACAAGGAGACTCTGCTGCCTTGCCCGAAACGTGCCGATGACGACAAGAAGAACTGGTACCCCCCCGGTCACGGTGATCTGTACAACGCCTTGTTGCACTCGGGTGTGCTCGACCAGCTGCTCTCCGAGGGCAAGGAGTATCTCTTCGTGTCCAACTCTGACAACCTGGGTGCAGTGTGCGTTCTCTCCTTGACTGTTCCTGTTCCTGCGGTACCTGTTTTGACAACACGAATTGTTCAGTGTCGATGAGAGCATCCTGCAACATATGATTGACACCCAGGCCGAATTCTTGATGGAAGTCACCGATAAGACTAAGGCTGATATCAAGGTGTGTTGTGGCAGTCCTCTGGCTCATCGTGACCCTCGTTGATCAAGCGATGACAGGGTGGTACCCTGATCAACTACGAAGGCTCAATGCGTCTGCTCGAGGTTGCCCAGGTGCCTTCCGAGCATGTCGAGGACTTCAAGTCCGTGCGCAAGTTCAAAATCTTCAACACAAACAATCTCTGGATCGACCTCAAAGGTGAAGTTTGCCGTCGGATCAATCTACCTCCAATTTCTCACGGCCAATGACAGCGCTGAAGCGGATCATGGAGACGGACGCAATGGAGCTCGACATCATCATCAACCCCAAAGTCAATGATGATGGCCAGGCCGTCGTCCAGCTCGAGACCGCAGCCGGTGCTGCCATCAAGCACTTCAAGAATGCTCACGGAATCAATGTTCCTCGCAAGCGTTTCCTGCCTGTCAAGAGCTGTTCCGATCTCCTGCTGATCAAGAGTGACATCTATTCTCTTGAGCACGGCCAACTCGTCATCAACGAGGCCCGGATGTTCGAGACAACCCCTGTCATCAAGTTGGGCGACCACTTCAAGAAGGCGAGCACTGATCATCCCCGATATCTCTTTCTCTGTGTCTGACCCTGGCGAACAGATCCAAAACTTCCAGAAGCGCTTCAAGAAGATCCCCAAGATCCTTGAGCTTGACCACTTGACTGTCACAGGCGACGTCTACTTTGGGCGCAATGTGACATTGCGCGGGACCGTCATCGGTGAGTGACGATTGTCAGTTGTGGTTTGTGCATGGGTCTGATCGGACTGCAGTCGTCGCCAACGAGGGCCAGCGTATCGACATTCCTGACGGTTGTATTCTGGAGAACCGTGCGTTGTCTTCGTCTGTTTTGTTTCCACTTGATTTGCTTATTCCATCCTAGGCCTGTTGTCCGGAAACTTGAACATGATTGTACGTGTCTATCGTGATTATTGTATCGTGCCCATTCTGACATTTTGATGCAGGAACTCTAATTACTTTGATACCCACGCGAGGAATAATTGACTTTTGGTGGAAAGTAGATGTGATCCGGTAGAAAGAATGGACTTTTTTTTGCACGCAATATACCAATCACAGATCCTGCCGAATCGATCACCGGCTGTCGTAAAAGCAACGTGAATGGAAGGGACTTGCCACCATGGTCAGATTTCCCGACAACAATCCTTCCGACATTGATCAGTTCCGCGTGTATTATCGATGGAGAAAACATACGATTTTCGAGAATGCAGCCATCGGGGATATCAATCCGCTGCCCTTCGTGTGCGACGACTTGGTTGTGATGAGCGAGCGGAATGGAACAGAGGACAACCGAGATAGTGTACCTATCACGGTTCCTCGCAGGGTGGTGTCACGTCCAAAATACACGTCTCCGGAGACTGTGAGATGGTCCAAATCGAGCATGTCGGGAATCCTCTTGAATCTTCTATGAAATTGTTGGATCTGCGGATAGCATTCAGCCAGTCATTGTCTGGAACTGCAGCGACGCGCAACCTTCTTGCAGTGATCCCCCAATTTGATCACTGGCGTGGCAGAGAACTGCCGGTCAGGGTTCGGAACGAGCTGGCCGTGCTCGATCGAGTACATGTTGCTCTTGATCAGCAGGAGATCCGAGCAGTTCTTGACGGGGAGGAATCGAGAGCGGGGCACGCGGATTCCGTATGCGTTCTGGAAGTGCTGGATTGCGGCACCTGCAGCTGTTTCGAGCTGGGAGGAGATGCCATTGGTCAATCTGGATGCCTTCGATGATCGGCCAAGCTGATTCAGTACCTGCAGAACGGCCTCTCCACGTTCATTGATTTTGGAGTTCGCGATCACGTCCAGGTGCATGCCACCACCGTCCATGACACACTTCAAAGCTAGACGGAGATTGTGTCAAGATGTTCATGGAAGGCCCAAGGGACGCTGCCAGTCAGTCACTTACCGTGCAGATTGATCCAAAGGTTGTTGGTGTTAAAGATCTGGAATTTGCGCACTGAAACGCGAATGAACGATGACACACATATCTCTCCGCGCAAAGCTCGCGTACCAGACCGGAAGTCATCGACGTACTGCGGCGGCACTTGCGCAAGCTCGAGCAGCCGGATGGAATCTCTGTAGCTCACAAGCGTTCCGCCCTGCTCGGACCCGATCAGGCGTGTCGTGATCGCGGCTGGAGAGACATACCTTGATATCGGCTTTGGTCTTTTCGGTGACTTCCATCAGGAATTCAGCCTTGCTATCGATCATCTGCTTGAAGATCCGCTGATCGACCCTGGGCACATAGGCGGGTCAGTGACTGGCGAGCCGAGGCGGAGTTCGTCCTACACGGCCCCCAGATTGTCTGAGTTGGAGACGAAGAGGTATTCGATTCCGTCGGCGATCAGTTTGTCGAGGATCCCAGACTGCTTGAGAGCGATATACAAATCTCCATGGCCCGGGGGATACCATCCCGCTTTGTCATCGACGGCAGTCTTTGCGCATGGGAGCAACGAGTCTTTGAGAAGGCGGGGGTATCGGGACTGGTTGAACGTCGTGATGCGTAGCTTGTGCTGTGAGTATTTCCTGACAATCCGAAGCGTGTCGTCGTGCGTGGCGAACGAAGTCATCAGGATCAGAGGGACATCCGCGTTGTACGTCGCATTGAGGTGCTCAATTTGCTTGACGGTCAAGTCGAGAAAGGTCATCCCCCCTTTGACCTCCAAGGCGCTCTTCGCGCCGTTCATTCCTGACTATCACTTCAGCACTTGCCATTTATAATCTATACTCGGCACAAACCCATCGTTGTGCCCAAGCCACCGTTCACTTTCAGCACAGCCAGCTTTCCGAGGGGCTGGGGATCCGTCGGGGCTTCTAGATCAGTGTGGGAATTATCTGTTCTACTGTTGCTGGTTGGACCTCATCCCATTGCCTTTCCATTAGTCAAGCACAGAAATATGTGAATAGATTATGCAAATCTCACTCACAGTTGTTTGCCCTCGGACTTCTCTGCTAGAAATCGCGAGAACAGGTCTGAAAAGGATCGCATCTCTAGCTCAAATGCCTGGCCCCATCCGAGTTAGGATAACTGCGACGCAACGATACAGTCGGTGCACCTTCTTGTCTGCAGGGTCTGAGACCGACTCCACCAAACATTTTAGCTCGTCTTGCAGCGATGTGCTCGCTGCATTGCTCTGGGACTTCCGGGCTTTGCGAAGGGGGAAGCGGCGATATTTGAATAGTGGCATGATTCAAGCTGGGCCGGAAGCAGAGGAGAAGAAGTCACAGACAGAGGCGTGCGGCAAGTAAGGTCGATCTTGCTCCAGGCTCGCAGAAATAGTCCATGCCACGCCTTAAGCATGCGATGGACGGACACGAGAGCCACTCGTGGATTGCATGAGGGCCCCAAGGGCTAGTATAATAGTCTTTGAAGCATGCGTCTAAGTGCAAACAGGTCTAACTTTTGGAGAGTCCAAGAACGAGAACTTGAAGTGTCGAGATGGATTATCAGCACTAGATTATCAGTCAATCAGATCTGTGGCGGTGGTATCATTGTCACAAAGCGCGAGTGCTGCTGGATAGTTGCACATGATCCTGTCACGGTGATCGTAACGCTCGAATCCGTCCCCCGTTTCGGTTTTTCTCCTCGTGAACACCAAGGCGAGACTTCAAGATGGGTGAGTGACCATTTGCACCTCTGTATTCCAACCCCAGTCACTCCGCTCGGACTGCAATCTCGTTGTCGAGTCGTGGAGGATGAATTGCATGTGTGCTAGCCACGATAATGCGTATTGATGAGGAGGCGCTAAACCGAGTTGAAGTGATGTCTTGCAACGTCGCTTTGCATCAACTCGGAATGGGATTGCGTGTGCTGCAGCATCTCATCTTAATCGGCCGGTCAGACGCTCTGCAGTGGACTAACTATCCTCCCAGGTATTTCAAGATCTTCTCGGCACAAGCGCTCGGAAACCGGTGCCCAGCGCGCCCACTACCGCAAAAAGAGAAAGTTCGAGTTGGGTCGTCAGCCGGCCAACACCAAGCTTGGTGCCAAGCGTGTGCACACCGTCCGTGTGCGTGGTGGTAACCTCAAGTACCGTGCCCTTCGTCTGGAGAGCGGAAACTTCGCCTGGGGCTCGGAGCACGTCACCCGCAAGACCAGGATTATTGGCGTCGTCAGTGCAAATCATACCGGGGTGTTTGCGGAGTATTCACCTGATCCAGGTTTACAATGCATCCAACAACGAGCTTGTCCGCACGAACACCCTCGTGAAGAGCGCTATCATCCAGGTCGATGCTACCCCCTTCCGCCAGTGGTACGAATCCCACGTGAGTAGCGGAAAATCTCTATTTTTGTCGCTGATATTGACTGCGTGCCCCAGTACGCCCAGCCCGTCACCAAGAAGGGCAAATCCTCCGCCCCAGCCGCCGACGCCGCCGAACCCGTGAAGCTTTCGAACCATGCGCAGCGTGATTTGGATGCCAAGAAGAAAGGTTTGCTGACTTACTTAAATCGGATCCGCTATTCATCGTATCGCCAGAGGCCAAGATTGACCACCTGTTGGACAGCCAATTTGCCGCTGGTCGCTTGTACGCCGTCATCTCCAGCCGCCCTGGTCAGTCTGGACGTGCAGATGGTTACATTCTTGAGGGCAAGGAGCTCGAGGTGCGCGAATCGCTTTCAAGAGGGGGTTGTGTCTAACGATCATATCTTTCTTGCTTTAGTTCTACCTGAGGAAACTGCGGACTGGGAAGCAGAAGCACGCCGCTTAAGGCATTCTTTGGTTCACCACCCAAAAATACTTAGGATTCTCCTTATGTATGACCCTCATGCTAGTTCCTTTGCCAATCCATGCATCCATGATACTCCAAGGATCCTCCTAGTGCCATGCGACAATTGGATGTAGCTGACATTCTAAACTTCGTGTATTTGTCTGTACGTCAGAACGCGCCTTCCACGCCCAGTGAATGCCATGAACTATCGCTACTTATGTATATGTACGGGAACACTGACTGTTCGTACCAGCTTGACGCGATCCACGTGACTGACTCTCTTCCTCTCGTTCGCGCGCTCATCTTCAATGGTATCGTGAGCGATAGCCTGTTGATCTTCCCCACGACCAATCTCGTTTTCAGCTCATTTTCTCTGTTTTCAAAACCCTCACAGATCAGCAAGTCACTGTCGAGCTGAAGAATGACCTCTCCATCACTGGTGTCTTAAAATCTGTGGACCAGTGTGTGCCATGCAATTCATGTGTTCTTCACACGCGTCAATCTCTGCCCCCAAGGTTCCTTAACATCCGATTAGACAATATCAAAGTCCTGGATGAAGCTCGCCACCCGCACATGGTTCGCGTGCCTTGTCACACCCAACGTACTAGCGCTTGTTACTGACTGAGCATGTATATAAGATGGCGGTCAAGAACTGCTTCATCCGGGGCTCGGTAGTGCGCTACGTGCAACTCCCATCCGAGCATGTCGATACACAACTGCTGGAGGATGCTACGCGGAGAGGTACGTCGGTCCCATGTCCCGTTTCTCGGTGCGTCCAACACCTAGCAGAATCCACGGCGGTGAAGCGATGAAGAGATCCGGGAGTGTTGGACCACTACCCTTCTCTCATGCGAATGAGGTGCCAGTGTTATGTACTATCTGGCCTCGCAAGTATCCGATGTAACATGATGTATTAATCCGCTATTCGTTTTCTACTTGTCGCCAAACCTTGACTGTTCCGTCGGCGCTGGCCGTGAACATCTCGTTCTTCATGACAGGATGATGCTCAGTCCATGTGATGACTTTGTCGTGCACTCGAGGTGGCGGATTGGGTTGCAGCGGTTTTGCCTGTGCAACATGTGAGGGGGGCGGCGATGTGTTTGGCGGTGCGATGAGCGCTCACATCGAGAAGGTCCCATGCCCAGACCGCGCCTTTCTCATCTCCACATATCACACTCGCTTCGCCGTGCCCAAAACAGGCCCGGCAGCGGTATGCTTCGTTCGCATGCGAAGTGAAGTCATTGAGCATCTTTCCTGTGCTCACATCCATGAGACGGATGTGTGAGTCCAAAGTCGTGACGAGCATCGTCTGGCTGTCTTGCGTGGGGACCACTGACGTGACGGGGTCTAGCAAACAGTCACGAAGAGTGACTCGACGATGCACGGAACTGGCTCACGACCCAAGCAGTCTGAACGAAGCTCTCCCATGCGAAGGTCGTACGTGCGTACGTGACCGTCGAGGGACCCCGAGACTATGTAAGTAGAACCAACGTACAGGGTCTGGATGGCATCCTGTGCTTCATCCAGGATTTGGATCGGCTGTCGGTTCTGAGCTCTGGGATGTGTCAGGGCAGAGCTATTCAACCGGAAGAGAATATACTTGAGATCCCAAAGCCGTACAGTTGAGTCGAAAGAGCCTGATTCGTCGGGTCAAATGGTGCATGGCATTGCAGACACCAAGTCCATTACCGCTCGCCAGAACGGATGCATCGTCATTGAATTCCACAGCATGGATCTTGCCCATGTGGCCTGGAATTCGACGCAGAGTTGATGCGGTTGCGACGTCCCAGAGGAAGACAGAGCGGTCTCCCCCAGAAGAGGCGAACCGGGCATTGTCGTGCGAGCTGGCGCCAGAAAGAGTTGGTTCTCAGTGGAGAGTAGAGCTCATATAGAACTGACACTGTAAGAGAAAGGACTTCATAGCCATGTGCAGCAAACGCCTTGACTTCGGCGCCGGTGTCGGCGTTCCAGAGTTTTATTATTCGGTCTTGGCCGCCTGTGAGGATGTATTTGGCAGCAGCCTTCGCGTAGCGCGCGACATTTACAGGACCCTTATGGCCTGAGAGAGTGACATGAAGGTGGCGGGGAAGAGATTCAGGGCCCCGAGACGGAGACATGGGTGTTCAGATCAGAAGCGGTGTTGTTGACGCGTTGTTATGAAATTGATGGTACATGTACACTCGTAGGTAGCTCGAATCCATGGGCGTAGAGGTTTAATTATCCTTGGTCAACGCCTTCTTCAAGTCAGTATTCTGTTTCTCCCAACTCTCGATCTTGGAGGCAGCAGTGTGCATCTTGGAGAAGAGATAACGAGCGCGAATGGTCGAAGCACTGCTGCTAGTCCACCAATGCTGATCCCCGGCGCCAAGGTCTTTGAGTGTCAGCAACTCCTGCTCGCAAGACTTGATTGCGCTCTCTGCAGCCGCGATTTGCTTCTCATTGAATGCGATGTCTTGCGTTGCTCGGAAGACCGCATCTGTCGATTGTGAGCAGGCATTTAGGGCGAGATCAGTAGATGTAGCACAGACCATCCACGAGCTGCCCGAAGATGTACTTGTCAACTGGCCGTGCGGACCTTATGGTGGATGGACGACCTTTCCGACGTCAGCACGCTCAGTCTACACGAGAAACAGCAACTAGCACACCATTTCGGGTGTTGATTGAGATGAGTTCTGCGTGCTCCATCGCCCGAAGCGCCGTCTCGTCACCCTTGAATGGAAATTCGAGCAGGGTCTGATAGTATGGGACTTCGGTCTGTTGGGCAAGCAGTTTGAACAGATGCCAGGCCTGTTGGCTGTTCCACTTCAGGTCCTTCGCGTCCTCTGCGTCGTCACCGAACGCGTTTTTTCGGGTCTCACTGACGCCGCGGGTGACAATGTCTTGAATCGCTTCCTCCACTGAGATTCCGCTGCTGACTTTGTGGATCAACTGAGAAAAACGATCAGTCAAGACTGTGCCGCGGAGTTGGAATTTAGGCACACCGTGTTGAGATCACTGGCCCGTCCGCCTAATCGCTCTATCAGGGACATATCGGAGCTTGAATAATGGATATCGATATCGGCATCCTTCAGTTTGCGCTGCACAAATGCGAGAGCACTCTTGGAATCAGCGTCATACAGGGCAATCGTGTTCAAAGGTTTGGATGAAAGCGCTGTGCCCGATGGTTCTAGTTGCCGGCGCCGACCACAGATTCGATTCTACACACCTTTGGCCACACGCTTAGAGTTTTCGCGATTATCCGAAATGACTATCACATGGGCAATCTGAATGGAATGATTAGGACAAACAACGCCGCACTCTTGAAACTCACTCGGTTCTCAACCAAGCCAGCAGCCCATTCAGCGAAAACATCATACATTTCACTGTTAGTGCCGCTCCGTGCTGCAAAATTCTTGATGACGACGACTGGAAGAGCCTTGACAGCCCCCACCTCCACTCTGCTATGTTGTTTCTTCTTGACCTGACGTTTGTCAGAATCGGCTGAGATCGCGACTTGGCCGAGATCATCCAATCGTTCGTCACCGATGCCGAGTTCCGAAGGGATGCCGGTTCCAGCCACATCGTCGATGCGACCATCGTGGTAGGTGCCCTTCTCTATTCGCTCTCGCTTGAGTGAATCCGCAATCGCGTGCTGCTCCTCTCGTGCTTCCTTGCGAACTTGGCGTTGCTCAGCCTGTCGGTGAGAGCCACCAACCTGCTTGAGTGCCGCGCGGACAACCCCCAGCATTTCTCGCACTTGTTCGTTGAGGGTGCTGCTGAGATTGGCTGTTCTGCTGTCAGAAATGTTTGGTGTTCTGCTCGCGAGACTCACATTTCTGTCCAATCAATCCTACGCTGACTAGATCGACAAGGTGACTGATCGAGTTCATGAAGGTAAAAAACGGCCAATATCCAACTTGTGAAGCGAGATTTTTGAGAAGCTGACTGTCCGAATTGGCATTCAGGAGCGTCCGACAGTCAATCGTCAAGACGCTACGGTCAGCATCCTTCAGTACGGCTTCTGTCAGACTGCTCTTGCCGCTGCCTTGGGGACCATGGATGAAGGTGATGGTCGAGGGCCAGTCGGTTAGATACGCTCTGAGATCCGAGTCCACTTGTTGACGTTCTTCCCAGGCCTCGTCTGCAGAAGAAAGCTGCGCTACGGGTGTAAATAACTTGAACTCCATCGACTTGTTGCGCAGCCATTGATAGATTCTGAATTCTGGGAAAGTTCGATCAGACGTTTGCATATGAAGTGCAGCGACTTGCCTCGTATCTCAAACCAATCCTGCAGTTTGCCTTGCACCATGAACGACCGGATGGGATCGAAAATCTGCGGATGTCAGAACAGACATCGGGCGACAGAAAATGGCATACAGCATAGGTGACACTGCCGAGAATGAATGCGAGGACGGGAAGAACTATTCGTGGATGAGAAAGCAACCAATCTAGGATCTACGTCGGTATTAACAATCATCAAGCTGAGTAACGAGCGACAACCTTATGCGGAGACATCGGACGCGTGAACGAGACATATAAGGTCGTTGGAGAAGTGGATCCCGGTGCTGTGAGCTTCAGACCATGTAAGACATTCCGAGCTGTGGCTGAAGAACGATGTCGGCCATAGCGTATAGTCGCTGAGCGCAGAGTGCCTGCCGGTACGGGAACTGGTTCGACAATATCTCTGATTCTTCCAAAAGGCTGAGAAATATGAGGGACAGTAGCACTGTCATAGAAAGGACGGCTTTACACGAAACAGTTCATACAGGCGTTCCCTGCGAATATCCGGCCCTTCAAACTCGACTTTGACATCGTCCGAGGGAATGGAGGGCATGTCCTGTGCGATTCGTTCAGGGCAAAAACAGAGAGACAATGCATATAACCCTCACTTCGATCCAAGGTGTTCCCTTCACAAGCCAAACATGCGAGTTTCGACCTTCCCAAGAGGGTAGTCCTCCATTTTGTGATGCGGCCTTTTTCACATCATCAAAAACAGTTTCCAGTGCAGCATCTGGATCTTTCGAAGTGTAATCGAAAGTGACAAAGGCACCTCCTTCTTTGTGCGCAGGGAGGATATCAACGATCGCAAACCCGTTGGTCTTGACACTGGAGAGCTGTGACCGTATGCCTTGAATGGTCGCTTCTTCACGAGCGAAAGCGACGTAGTAGCGTGGACTGGGAGGGACAAGTAAGTTCAGCAGCCCCCATGCCTTTCAAGTGACTTGCTCGAAGATTCCAATCCTGATAGGGAAGGCGTCAACAAATAATTGAGCACGACGCGTCAGGAGCAGCTCCGGAGATTGCTCGACGGACACATCTAGCGCAGAAGGGCGGGCGAGACAATGAGAAGATGTAAACCCTCGCGAGCAGTTGCTAGCGGAACTGAGGCGAAGCTGAAAAACATTGGGATTGCGGGATCGCCGAGGAAATCTGCCCATGAGCCCCACAAAAGGAGGAGAAAGCATGTTTCAACGAATGGCGGGTTCTGAACTACTCTCTCTGCAAGCGGTTCATACGTGAGTTGAGAGAAGTGGGTTAAATCCTATGACATCAACAATACGTCGGCGCGTCGGCGCCGATCAACTCTGATCTCGCGCCAAGTGGCGGTGTTTCACCTTGGCTTTCGCCAACCTGACCCATGAACTCATTACAGGGCAATCTTGCACGCGAGCCATCCCCTGTCATTACTCGAAGCACGCGCAGCGATGGTGTGAGGACCCCCCAGCCCAAGCCAGGTACACCCAGACCAGCCAGCACGTCTCCCGCTGAAAGCAACAATCGCCCACTCAATGTAACGGACGCCCTCGGATACTTGGATGCAGTCAAGAAACAGTTTGAGACGGAGCCGGATGTGTATAACAAATTTTTGGATATCATGAAGGATTTCAAAGGTCAAGTGTACGTCGGGATTGTCTTTACTTGACGCGCGCTTAACCACACTCCTTCCAGCATCGACACCCCAGGAGTCATCGAACGCGTCTCCGCTCTTTTCCACGGAAATGTGGTGCTTATTGAGGGCTTCAACACTTTTCTGCCTGCCGGGTACCGTATCAACGCCAATGCAGACGACCAGACCATTACGGTTACCACTCCCATGGGCACGACCACACAAAGCACCAGCGGAGGCTACACGCATCGGATGCAAGCACGAGACACAATTCCGGGACTCGGCCCTAATATTGCTATGCCTTTTCCAGGAATGGGTCCTTCGACGAATGTCCTTCCTCCTTTAAGCAGTGGCCCTGCGTCGCGTTCCATGACACCCGTGGCGTATCACATACCTGCTCAACCTCCGCCTTCACTGCCTCCATCATTCGAACCGCCGCCGTATCAGAATCCGCAAACTGCGGCAGCGGCCAATCTTCTTGGGAATCTGAACAACCGCAATCAAGTGGAGAGGCCTCAACAACACGCCGGGGAGTTCAACCATGCCATTCAGTATCTGAACAAAATCAAATCTCGTTTCGTTGATGACTCAAATACGTACAAGAACTTTTTGGACATCCTACAGACGTACCAGAAGGAGCAGAAGCAAAACGTGAGTACATCAGTCACTTCGCGAATCTGTCCCTCATACAGGATCTAGCCACACGTGTTTGTTCAGGTCCAGCATCTCTTCAAGGATGCACCGGATCTTCTCACCGAGTTTCGCTTGTTTCTGCCTGAATTCGCTGCGGTCGAATCCCAGAGCACTCCGTCATGGCCACTGCCCGAGCCCGCAGCGGAGAAGCCTACGAAGAAGGCCCCAGCCGCTCCAAAGCGGAAAAAAAGGGGAGCTGAGAAGGATGTTACTCCAGTTCCAGTCCCTAAACCGGCAGCCCGAGTGCGTCACACTGTTCGGTGGTCGAGATGGAACTCTAAAATCCCTTCCAGCCCGCTAAGAAGGCCAAGCACAACCACAAACCTGAACCAGGTTCCCCATCGTCGTTTTCTGGCTACGTTGGACAAACGCCCCCGCCAGTGTCAATGCCTCCACCCACCATTTCTACCTTCCATCAATCTGCAGCTGCTGCGAATTTACCGGCAGTTATCGGGGAGAAAGTGATGTTCTTCGACCGTGCGAGGAAGGCTTTAGGAGCCCGAGACATGTTTGATGATCTGTTGAAGCTGCTCAGTCTGTTTTCGTCTGAGATCATCGGAATGTCCACATTGATCACCCTCGCTCGGGATTCCTTCTTTGGCGATAGTGATTTGATGCAGGAATTCAAGGATCTGGTCGGATGGGAGGATCCTGAAGACGCTGCTGATAAAGGACCCCCGGGCAGTGTCCGGACCGGCCCCCCGGATCTTGCATCTGCTTATGTACCGGATGATGGAGATGGGCCCAGCTATCGGAGACTTCCAGACAGTGTACGCAGCTTTCTGCACGCTTTATCGCATCGACTGATCTCAATCAGGAGAGTCGACTGGCCTGTTCGGGACGAGACGAACTTGGAAAGTCGGTGCTCAACGATGAATGGGTCTCGCATCCAGCTTGGGCGTCGGAAGACGCCGGGTTCATGTCACATAGGAAGAACCTGTTTGAGGACACACTGCACAAGAGCGAGGAGGAACGTCACGAATATCACGTGCACATCGCGGCTATGTCGCGGACGATTGCTCACTTTGAACCTTTGGCGATGCGACTCGAGGAGATGACATCCGAGGAACGAGTCAATTTTAAGCTTCAAGCAGATTTTGGGGGATCGGCCAAGGCACTGTACCATCGGATTATCCGAAAGGTCTACGGTCGAGACAGTGGTCTGGAGATCATCCAAGCTCTTCAAGATTCTCCCAGCATCGCTGTCCCTGTTGTTCTGGCCCGATTGAAGCAGAAGGATGATGAATGGCGGCGGCTACAACGAGAATGGGGTAAAACGTGGCGAGAAGTGGATGCCAAAAACTTCTACAAGAGTCTTGACCACCAGGGCCTCACTTTCAAGGCCGACGACAAAAAGCGGATCACGGCCAAGTACTTTGTGAACGATATCGAAGCCGCGAAGGGTGCCCAAATGAGACACTGGGCTCGCACAACTCCGGCGCAGTTGGTCTTCAACTTTGCTGACACACCTGTGCTCCATGACTCGCTCAAGATGGTCTATTCTTTCCTCGATCACTCACAAGGCCAGTACAGTGCTGCTGAGCGCCGGAGCGTCGAGTCTTTCTTGCGCCGGTTTGTTCCGTTGCTGTGCATGTACCCAACCGCCGAATTCAACGCTGCTTGCGGGCCACTCGATGGAATCCAGGAAGAAGATCTACTCCAACTTCCCGATCCTCCCCGAAGCGGACGGCGCTCCACGGGCAGTGTTCATTCCGCGTCGCATTCACTAAACAACGGAGCGGGTGTCGCACCAGGTGACCTGCGAAGAAAACTTTTGCGCACAGTCCAGGAGAATCAATCCGCTACGGCATCACGTGGAACATCTCCGGTCCCGGAAGAGGTTGAAATTTGGTTGAGAGAGTCAACGCATACACACTGCGAGGGAATCGCCCCAAGAAGACCTTTCTTCACCAACACGACATTTTATACTCTGTTGCGTCTGCTGCAGCTGCTCTATTCGCGGTTAGCCATGTGCAAAGCCATCGGTGCTCGACTAGCCGATGAAAAACATGCATCGTTGCGAGTCAATCCTGTAGCAACATCCCTTGGGTTGGATGATCCGGCGGGTCCGACATTGATTCTCGCCCAGACCGTTGCCACGAAGGAGGAGGGAGACGGATCACCTCCCAACGTGGTTTACATGTATCTTTTGGATGCTTGTGAAAAGGTGTTTGACAACGAGCTTGATTCGGCGACGTTTGAAGAACATATGCGCTGGTTCTTCGGCGACAAGGTGTGTGCAGACTGTCTACGGTGTGGATGCAACGCAAACACACACACAGGCCTATCATCTCTTCACCATTGACAAACTGGTCACAGCGCTTGTAAAACAAGTGCAGACCATTGTAGGGGACAACAAATGCCAAGAACTGTGGACGCTGCTGCAAAACGCACACGTGACCGCTTCTGACGGCATCGGTCTCAACGATCTAGACATACTGCAATATCGCCGTGAGGCTGAGCGACATGTCGGACAAGATGATCATTTGTATCGTCTGCAGTGGAATCCAGATGTCCGCTCCATCAGCGTGCATCTGATGGGGGCCGATGATCCCAGTGTCAATGCTGGGGATCGGTGGAGAGAGTATGTCAGCTCATATGTCACTCGTCTGCCAACAGAATGGATCCCGCCTATCGAAGAGGAGCGACTCTTGCTCAAGAGGTGCGCATCACCATCACTTTCTCCATCAATCTCATCAGATCGACAGGACCCGGCGGCTCGGCGACCAACATGTCGCCGTCGATGATAGAGGACTGTCTGTGCGCATCTCAAGTCCAAAATACAAAATAGTCTATGAAGCCGGAGCTGAGGATCTCATATGGTGGCCTGGAATAAAGTCTGCCAGCTTGGAAGCACAAGCTCGGGTCATGGCGGAGCGTCGCAGGGCGCGTTTCTTCGCTCGTTTTCTTTAAACGGTTCATGAGAGCCTTGTAGCTGTTTGTTTTTTTAAGTGTACCATTAGCTACCGGTTTGTAAATTCGTGTGTAGCAAACTGATCACCTGCTCTGTTGAACAATGGCAAAACTCCCGATCACGATCGGGCGTGGGAATAAACTAATGACCAATGATGAACACGGTCATGAGCCTTGCACCCTCTTCCTCCCTCTCCCATCTTCACGCTGCGACGCCCTTTATTCTCTCTCAAACCCGCCACAAAGCCAAAAATTATTTCAGATAACGATACTACACATGTCTTCTCAAGCTGAGGGCGTCAATTCCACCCCGGCACCCCACCCTGCTGTGGCCCATCAATCGCTGCCCTCCCAGTTTCCTGGGTATCCCGTTTTAGAAAGAAAATATATCCATTTTCTGATCAATATGGTAGCTCGGCAGTTGCTCCGGTGCCCTTTTTCCCTGCAGGGCGCTCCCATCTGCCCACACCCCAAAGGTGAAATAAGCGATATCGACATTACGAGAGATGCTGATTGTGTCGGACTGGCAGTCCGGATTACATGGGGCATTACTTGAATTTCCAAAGCCCCGAGTCTCCACTTGCTCATGGCCAGACGCGCGTCACTTCATCACGATACTTGCCCTTGCTTTACTGAAACGCATGCACAGATCTTACATCTCATTTGCGTCTATGGGTCGGCCGGTGTATGGAATGCCTGTTCAGAAGATGTCGGTGCTCTCGGGTCGATGATGCTGGGAAGTTGCTTAATCTGCTGCAGAATGCCCCCGGGAGCTGCTGGTCGCCCGGCCCAGCAGGTCATGACCCCAGAGTCAAGGTGCGCCGCAACATTCTCTCACCTTACCCTCTTTTTGATTAATCTTCAGTCCTTTCGCGTCTCGTTATGATTCTCATCTTTCCACTCCCCTCGCGATACCTCATTTCAAGTGCGTAATGCCACGGTCTTTATGGTGTGCCCTCATATCATTCCAGCTCTTACGCTTTCCACATTCCCCAACCAAGTTCATCGTATGCATTCTTCGTTTTCTCTTGATGTCTTGCTTCCGACTCACACTTACAAATAGTTCAATAAACTCGTTTCGTCCAACCACACCGCCCCCTTCTAATCTCAATCTCGCCTCGTTATCTTCTCCATTCGTCGCAAAGACACCTCAAGGCACCGGTTCATCATCGCGACCTATGCAGTCTCTTCAAGAGGACGCGTTGTCCCAGTCGATGCCAGTCCCCGTCCCAGGGCACCCTGATGAAGCTTCCATGTCTATTCCCATCTCTCCAGCCGTCTCTCCTCCCAATGCACCTGTATCTGATCTTCCAGGGGGTGAAATGGAGCGTCTTCGTCAGACGATGGCTCAGAATCAGATGAAACGTTACCAAGATACGGAAGCTCGTCGACCAGAGTATCTCAAACGAGGCAAACGTCCTATCTCAGAAACTGATCTAGCGCAAGCTGATGAAGACGGACATCGACGCTCCAATGTCGGTGTTGTTGACAGTCCGCACAAAGGACGGCGACTTGCGCTGTTCCAGGAAACATCGGACGAGAGTTTTGAGGAGAGTTTAATGGCAGGTGGATACGGCCGTTATGTGAGCCTTCATCGATTGCTTGCAGCTGACATGCTCATGTCTGCAGCGCACGGCAGACTGGATTCGCCAGCCTCAACCAGCGCAAACTCCTGCCCCTCCTCCGCCAGTGCCGGCGCCTGCGCGATCTGAAGTCCCTCCTCCTCCACCAGAGCCGTTGTCAGACAAGGAGATTCGAAAGCGTAAACGACTGGCAGCATTTCGACCTAACCAGTTGACGAATACGGCTATCGAGCCTTCCCGCCTGTTTCCTGTGATCATTGAAGGGATGGGCCGAGTGCTTTTGGACACAGCGACTGAAGAACAGCGAGCCCAGGGTGCTGATGCTGCCAAGCGAGGAACGGTGCTTCCAGCAAAGAAAATCAAGAAGCGGACTGAGCCCAGTGCCCGAGAACGGCGAGCCATAATGAATGCCGCGCAACTGGAGGAGATGTCGGACAAACCCAACTGGCTGGATACCGATTTTCCTTGGCGATTGCGCATTGAGGAGCGGAGGAGCATCGACACGGAGGAATCCGAGCAACGCTTGGACGCGATCAAAAAGTTCTTGGATCGCGATACAGACGCTGAAGATTCCAGCAGTGACGACGAGCCAAGCAACGAGGAACTATTGCCACCCTCTGCCTGGACGCGCATATATGAACCTGGCGCTGACAGGCCTACGCCGTCACGCGGGGGCCGGGGGAAGATGGTGCCACTTGCAGCCGATCCCTTGGTCAGTGATCCCCGCACTGTCGGAAACCGCCGAGGTCTACTCAGCGCCAACGGGCGCCGATTCTTCCCGACGGACCCGGGTGATGCGGTTCAGGCGTTTCATGCGAAGAAGACGATTCGAGCATTCACGCTCAAGTTGAGGCGAAGGAAGCAGCGCGAAGAGCAAGACGAAGATGATGACGACGTGGCGTGTATCTGCCATGGCAAGCGCAAGGACGACAATGTGGTGCAGTGTGACCAATGTGAGATCTGGTATCATCTCTACTGCCTCAACATCCCGAATATTGCCGCGCTGGGACCGGAAGAGGATGCATGGTACTGTCAGAAGTGTCAGATTGTCGAGCAGTCCGACGACTCGGACGACGCACAGGCGGTCGAAGGCATGGGCATGGCCGAGGACCTGGTCGAAGATGAACCGAGTCCAGAACCCATCTTTGCTCCCACGGATAGCGAACCGGTCCGGAACCATTCCAATGATGCACCGCTGTTCCAGGTGCTCGACTCGCCGTCGCGCTGTGCTGAAACCAGCCGCCACGAACTCAAGACGCCTCCCCGTCCCAGCACTCGTCGCTGGAACAACGGATTCACGACGCCGACCGCTCATCCAGAACATCCGCTTGACGAAGTACAGGAGTCGTTCTTCGACCCTCTCTCGACACCCTCCCGTGGCATGCGACTGGCCGGTGGTTTCGTGACACCCAAGGCAGGCAGCAGCGGCTGGTCAATCCGCGCGCACGAAACCCCGTCAAAACGACGTGACTCCTCGAGCTGGTTGTTTGGTGCGTCGGGAACGTTGGACGAGAGTGCAGGCCTTTTTGGTTCCAGTCCGTTGATGCGGATGTCTTTCGACGATTCGCCCATCAGAAGAAACACAGCTGCTGCTCACAGGATATTGGACGGTCTCGAAGACTCTTCGCCTATCACGAAGCACGTCGGTAGGAATCTTTTCGAAGAGCTAGCTGCTCAAAGTGAATCGCCAATTTACAACCACTGAATCCCTGTGGCCGGGTCTTATCATTGATCTAACCATGCACTCGTTTTCTTGCTATGCTACTCCATCGCTGCTAGTCGTACCGCAGATTGCCGAGCCATTTGGTGCAGAGTCCGGAATACTTGTCTAGATATAATGCTGAATGTTGAACGTAGAATATATTGAATGTATGTACTTCGGAGACAAGAGTCACTCAACCCACGAATGCAATGTGTCAGAGCATTTATGTCAGCAGATTTCTCTCTCTCTTTCATCATGCCTAAGCGAACGTTATCCCCCACCCCTCTTCTACCACCCGCGAAACGACAGCAGATCGATGCCAATACACTGCGTCCTATTGCTCTATCGTTCGACGACTTATTCTATGAGGAGCTCATCTTGCTTGTGTTCTCACAGCTGTCATGGTCCGAACTTTGCGCTGCTGAGGCAGTGAACAAGAACTGGCAACGCATCTCACTCGATAACGGCCTTTGGCGCGAGCAAGTGAGCAAAGAATGTCCGTTGACCACGCAGGGGTGAATTGATCATGTCTGCTGCTGCTTCAGTATATCCGCGTGTTCGGGCGCTCTCGACTGCGAGGCGGCAAGGGATTCGCTGGGAGAAGTGATGGCAGAGAAGTAAGGCCTCTTCCCGGGCGCGCCGTGAAGGCGCTGGACTTGAAAGATTGGCGGTGGATGTTTAGGATCAGTTGGAACTGGAAGAAAGGTCGGTTCTTGTGACGCGTTCCGGGCTTCGGTTGCGTCATGTCGCTCAAACTTATGCACAGGCCGCTGCCGCACCGAACACATCGAAGGTGTCTTCAAGCCCCCTGAGCCAGGATCGACGCCTTCGCTTGCGCCACCGCATGTTGTATTGACAGGTTCTACGACTATTATTGCGTCCTCCGAGACGAGCATGTGCCCAGAAGTTCATTGCCTGCACACGGGGGGTGGTCCCACGTCTCAGCAGACTCTGTTGTGCGACTCTCGCGGACCACGAGGGCCTTGTTCTATCGCGGCACTTGCGCTGGATCAATCTGCCCCACGGGCTCGGCTGCTGCAGCTCGCGGCGTTCCTGTCGACCGGAGAGTTTCTTGTCTTCGCCGTAGACGAGCAGAATCCGCGGGCGACGGCCCGCAAACTCACCTACATCCCTCAACGTCCCAGCTCAAGAACAACTGCAATCATTCAGGCCGTCTTCCATTACCCCCTGCTCATCAGCCTCTCAGAGGCTTTCACGCTGTCTATCTACGACCTATCGGCCGATACCGTCAAGCATACGCAAACACTGACCACTTACACCGCATTTCCTCCCACATCCCTGGTGCTATCCGCGCAACCTGGAGATCGATACAAACTTGTGTTGACATATGCAATGCCCGTGTTTCCGGTGCACTTTTCGATCGGTACGATGCTGTTCCTTGGTCTTCCGGTCCCTGATGAAGCGTGCACAGGTGCCACCGAGTTGATCATTGCCTCTTCACACGACCCTATGGCGAGCTTGACGGTGATATCGACGCGCACTGCCCGTGCCTTGGACGTTCCGCCTGGCTGGATCGATCAGGACAAGCTTCGGTGCCTGAGAGAGCAGTGGAGTCGAAAGTTGCTGCACATCCAAGATACGCAATCGGATGGGAAATGGGTGACTCTCCCTTTGCCGTCTGCCCTGATGACGAGGAGTTAACCTTTCAACCTCCAGATCGTCGTTGGCCCTGGCGAGTCGCCGCCGGGGAACACCGTCCCGGGGCCGGTAGATTCGCTGACCAGCCTGCAGATGTATCGACTGTCACTGCCTGCAGCGTCGTCTGTGGCTTCGCCGCCACCAAAACTGACGTTCATTCGATATCTCCATCATTCGGCCGGCGCGGTATCTTCGATGGCTCTCGCAGATGGCCGATGCGTGACATTGGGCAAGAATGGATCTATCTGGGTGTGGGATCTTGAATCTGGCGCTGGAGCGATGGTTTCCTCCCCCTCCGCTTCCATCGTGGAGAGGTCGACCGTCGTTTTCGACGACCGCAGGATCATCTCGGCCCGCGCAGGGAAGCTGGTCATCCATCGGTTTGATATATAATCTATGTGCGTGTTTCGATCTCGGAGCTGTAGTTTCTTGGCCAACATCCGTTATCCCAGCGGTATTTATGCTTTAGACTCTATACGAATGGCATGGACATAGATCCGTTCTATTGGTGCAATAGATGCTTCCGACGCGTGTTCTCCTGGGCTCGGTCCGTTGGAAACGTAATTGATTAGCGGCGGCCGCCTTTTCCTCGGTGGTTCCCGACGTTTTGGTCTACAGTCTCTCTCCGTATATCACCATTGACTGTTTTAGCCCAGGCATGTCGCGCGGTCCCACAAGCTTTGTCCTCCCACATGCAGAAGACGGCTTTGCCCGAGGACGCCCGCTATATAATCCGTCCCCCCGGAACCATCACAACCAGACAACCACCGATGTACCCGTTTGAAGAAGCCCAAAGCCCAGTGGCCGCGAGAAAGTGCCGCCAATGTGTCTGTCCCTCGTGCCTTTTCTGATCACACATCCTCCAGGAGTGGCTCTGATCGACCCCGACCGCTCGACCCGGTTCCTATGGCCAGACTGCGACATGCTGGAGCACTGGACCCCCGTCAGTTCAGCTGCTCGGCAGAGCTGTTTCGAATCCCGTCTCCGGCTGACGCTGCGGGCGGGGGCTACACTTACTACGAGGCACGGCGCGACACGTTGAACCAGGTCGTTCTCGATTCAAATGATCGGCCGATCTTCGATCTACGGCGCACCATCCATCCTCCACTAAATGCAGATATCGTGCACTGTGTCAACACACATGCTGTGCTCGAGTCTGCCGCGGAATCCCATCTTTTGTACGGCTGCAACTTCGTCGACGCCACTCCTCACAACCCCGGCGAACTCTACTTCCTATTCCCGGTTGGTGATGCCGTCCCTGATTGATGGCCGCTCTGACTCGCACACCCAGACATTGGGTGTCTCTCAAACGGGCCACTATCTTCTGCGCTATACCGCTTGCTACAAAGCTGCTGGCCAGATCTTCGCCAGATGCTACGGGAAACCCTTTGTGGTTCTCCCAGCCGACCAGTTCCCAGGCTTGTCCCGCTCGACTGCTCTAACCGAGGTGAGCTAGCAAAAATAGGATCGATCACCATGTCTCACTTCGGGTGTTCAGGAGATGGCTGTACACAATGTCCCAGGCTTGCGCATTCGCAAATAGTCCGCGCTCGCATGTAAATCTCACAAGCCATCCACTCATCGTCGTATGACGTACTCAGTGTGACTGATGGTCGTTATGTCACACACTATTGCAATCACATCACATGTACAATTGATTCACGCTGCACCAAATGCGGCCTCGCATTTGGCATTTGTTCTGCGTCCCCTCTTTCCTACAATCTACTCTCCCGCTACCGTGCTCAACGCGTACTGTCTGTAATCTACCACAACTGCAATATTCGCGAATATTGCGGCCGAAGCATTGTTAAATTTACTCTTGTATGCGACACCGCGCCACGTTATGGACACTCCACAACCGTCGCGCGCTGCCCAGCGCAAACAACGACTTTTAGAGATGGAGCACGAACAGCGTCTGGAGGATATAGAAGCACTCAAAATGACTGAGGTATGCAATAGATCTGGAGCTTGTGCCACCAACCAACGTATTCACCCTGCAATCGACTTTAGGAACAACGGCTGCTCTTATTCCACTCCTTCCGCTCAGTCAAGTTCGAATGGTCTGATCTTGACGGCATGCGACCGAAAACCCATGTCCTCCCTCAGCGCCGACGAGTCACGGTGAGCACAACGTCATTCCCACCCATCTTTCCCCCGATCGAAGATTTTGGCTGTCTTGCAATTCCGATCTTGCATCCGCTCATATCCCCTGTTTCATTTGTTCCATCGCTCTTCCCCCGAAATACGGTATTGATATGATTGGTTAGTCTCTCGTCCAGTCACCGGGGCAATCGCGTGGCCGACCTGCCTCCCCGCGAACCCAATCGCCAGCTCGCCCTCCTGCACTAGACGTCCAACTGCCGTATGATGCGTATCCGGGTGCCCCGCACCCAGCGAAGGTTGTGGTACTGAGCCCATCTCGGCTTGCCTCGTTTGGCAAGGACGAAACTATCCGTGGCGGCGTGCCTTTCCCCCAATCTACGGTGCCTTGTGCTAGTATGGCGCAAGTCACACGTTCCGTGGAGTCGCCGTCGCCCTCGCAGCATTATGCTCCGTCCGAGCCAGTTGCGAAGCGGCATCCACCGGCTTATCCCGGTGTAAAATCCGCGGGCCAGAAAGTTTCTGTGCACAAGCCACCATCCGGGACCAGCAAAGCAGCCAAGCGGCGATCTCCTGTCAAGGGATTGTTCCCGCCACACGGCCTTGCCTCCGTCTCCAAATCGGACGCAGAGATCGCTATCTCTCTGCATGACGACGAGTTGGACGGGGACGATGACGCCTGGGTTGACGAAGACGAAGAAGATGAGGAGGATGGTGACGATGACGATGAGACGTTCATCTATCCGGGTTCGGACAGGTCGGTTGACTGCGAAGAGGGAGATTGGGACGAAGAAGATGGACTGGCTACCCCAGTTGTCGCCGAGTCAGGATGGCGGTTTCCTCCCTTTTTGGACGTCCCACAAACGCCTCGAGCGTCTCAGCATTCAACCGAGAAACAGCTCGACTAGGCCTCTGCGGGCATTAACGAACCTCATGACCGTCACGACTCATCGCAAAGCTCGCTTTCGCGCTCGGAACGCAGTCGCTTTCTAGTCAGTTTTCGTCATACAAGCATCTACATACCATCAACATAGCATCTACACTCGACCTGTCGTTTACCCAGTGTCACTATTGTACAACGTATCCTGTAAGTTTTCTAGCTACCGCTTCGCTGAGAACGGCGGGAAGACCAGGTCACCAAGCACAATGTCTTTCGATACAATGCGATATCCGTTACAACAGAGCCCACATGGAGAGCAGGGCAAGGACGATGGTCGCCACGGGCTGGAGAGACGAAGCACCGCTAGATTTGATCGGCGCCAGAGCGAATTGCTCGTTCACGGCAGTTTGACTGACCCCGTCATCAGCGAGAGAAGAAGCCGACTCTGCAAGCCCATGTCAGCCCGGCACGGTCATTGTCAAAAGACTAGATTATCGACTTGCCAGCAAAACCTGCGCCGCACAACGTGTCGATGGCGGAGGAGGCCTGGGGGAACTGTGCCGTCAGTGGAGCTGCGAGGCTGAATGCAGCCTTGGTGCAGTTGGTGCAGGCCAAATTGGCCGCGCTGGCGACAAGATTCTGGAAGTCGGACAAGATAGTCTGGAGATTGAGGCTACTGGCTGACAGTTTTCCTGTAAGGGTCTCGATGCTGCTGAGCATCTCGGTGGCGCAAAATTTGCTGGATGCATTGCTGTTCAATGCCGAGGATCAACTGGAAGCCTGGATCTGTTCCTGCAAGGAGACACGCACTCTTTCAGGCACATGATAGAGCGCGCGGTCGGATACACTTGCTGCACGATCTGGGTGATGGTCTGTTGCAGCCCAGCTCCGACGCTGACATTGAATGCGCTCAGATCACTGGCGCATCCCGAGGTAACGGTGGCTGCTACAGAAGCAAGGGATGCGTTACTTGCGACGACGTCTCTTAGTTACAGCGTACGGTGTGACGGAGAACCAGCGTACCTGCAGGTGCCGACAGCACAGAGCCCTCCAAGCCAGTTGTTGACCGTGTCCGGGACGGATTGCGCGTTGCCACAAAGAAGGACAGCAGCGCTGACGGGTTGAGACATGCGGCATCTGGCGAAGAGATGATTCCCTGTACGGCGGTGGGTGAGACTTCAGACCTAGAACGTCGGTCCTTCACGTACCTTCAAGGTCTCGGAGCACCCAGTGCTGAGGCTAAACAAGATGAGTTCAAGTTCAAGTTGATCTCCGTTCACGATGACGAAGTGTGCATTACGATTGAGCAGAAACCACGGC